GGTGCATATAATAGCGCATATTTCATGATTTATTAGTGCTATAAGTCTCGAGCCCTGGTTATAACGATTTGACAATAAAGTGAACATTACAATATTGATAAAACGTTGACAAATAACATTTTCAAGAAAGACCCATGGGCTATAAATAATTATTTTCATTTAGTCTGTGGAATAATCATAACTGCGATTACATTATCTCTTTGATATATACATTTTAAAAGAAGACACTGGATGCAATGGTAAGTTTAATACGTTGTGTGAGAAGGGTCTGGATTAATTTGTCCCTGGGGCCTTTGATTTATCTCAACTGCCCTGCTGGGAGCAGTGGGAAGTGGACGTTATGTGGTTCAAACAGTAGTAAATCTCCTTGGAACTTTGCTGCTTTACCAGTTGAAGTAAAAAACACCGAAGGCTGTCCGTAACTATAAACTGACACATGGAGAATATGTTAGCTCTCGATCTGACCAAAGTAAACGACGGGACATGACACCCACGTTAAAATGGTATGGATCCATCATCGCAGAGCGACATGATATCTCGGGGCTGGTTGTTCCTCCGACGGTCCAGTGTCTTGGTCCTTGTCGAATCTCTGCGGCCCGTGATTAGCTCTCAGAGCTAATATACGGTCCGTAGTTGTAGGTTCCTGCGAACCAAAAACCCAGGACCACCATCAGTGATAATAAATATAAAATAAATAAAAAAAAAAAAAAATTGATTTTGAATTTTGTTCATTATTTTTATAGAAATATTGAAATGTACGATCAATCTTAAATTATATTCTTAAAGTTTAATATAACATTACACTGTCCATTTATTATTTATATTTTTATTGATAAATCTTAAGTTTTACTAAAAATTATCAAATAACTGTATTATAAATAAAAATAAAAAATATTATATTTGCTTCCATCCATATCTTAACCCCTTCACTATGAACACTGTAGGTTGTACCTCTTGACCTCATTCAAATATTCTTATACTATATTTGATTCTGTCAATACATAATAATAGTAGTTAATAATAATTTATAAAAATAATAATAATAATAGTTTATAAAATAATAAAATAAAACAATAATTAGTAAATAGATAATCAATACTCGTAAATAAATGTATAAATAAATAATTTATAATTATTATTATTTTTTTATTTATGTAGATGCTACACATTTATTCATTTATTTATTAATTTGTAATCAATAAAAGTAAGCCACTTATTAAATTTTTTTCTTGAATTATTAGTATCGTTGAGCCTAATAATAAAAATGTATCATAATAGGTACGTCAATTATGTAGCACCTTCAATTATCCACATCTCTTGAGACCATGAATATTTTAATAGTGTTCCCATAACTATTTATAACAATTATAATTTTAGATATATAGACAGTTAAGTCATTTTTGACGAAAATGCAAAAATATTTAAAGTTAAAGAGTATTGAGATCAAAAAAAGACACTAGAATTTGTGCATAAATAATACCAAATAAATTGTTAATAAACGTTTATATACGTACGTATAAGGACGTTATACATTTTTATCGTTATTTATATAAAGGATTATTCATACCACTCAAATCGATTTTTCATGCTTTTAAGATCCAAATAACTAATTACTAAATAACTAGTAGAGTCACTAGCCACTATAAAATATTTTTTTGCGAAATCCTTTGTAAACGTTATAAAAATTAGTCTAAAAAAATACTTCAAAAGAACTTACTAAGCGTTTGCGAAAAACTAGTTAAAACAATTCAATTCAATTTCTAACAAAATCATAATTGAGTTTTTTTTTTAAAAAAAATATTAAAAACATTATAAAATAATTAATTATGCTGTTTTGAAATTAATTTTAAAATTATGTATTGATATGTATAAACTAAATTACGGTGTGCAAAGATGCAATGTTGCCATCTCAGTAATATTATTTGTAGGTTTGAAATGACTCATTTTATTGGTAGGTATAATATTAATCTTATATTTCATACCGTAGATTAAAATATTAAATATACACAAAAATAAATATTGTATATTTAATCTGTTTATGCATGCTGAGAGACGATTACTCGGTAAGTTTTATTTTTTTATTAGGATGGCTTAATAATCAAATATTATACAATTAACTGTCTTAACATAATAAAAGTATAACAAATATAAATATTTGAATAAGAGAACTGTGAATAAAAAAATAATAATTTTGTTATTTATCATTTTACCAGTATATTATATAATTTGATAATACTCTGGTTATTTTATCAATTATACTAATAATTATTTGAAATTGGGTATCTTTATTACAGTAGCGTATTTTCACATTTTTAGTGCGAGTTTAAAATTTTTCTCAAAAATAAGTGATTTTATATTATTATAAAAAAAAGATATAATACATATTCAAATAATTAATTTTTATACAATATACACTATACCTTTATAACAATTCATTTATAACTTTTGAACTTTTCTATATAACTGGAATCCCCCCCCCCCCCCCGAAAATACGCAACTGATTTATATGTTAAGCCACAATTGTAAGTACAAAATATTAAAATGCAAATGATGAAAATAATTATTTATATCATTATATACAAAATAAATTAGATTTGTTTTATTTTCATTCTGCATAAATTATTAAATTATTAATCCAGTCAATTTTACCATATAATACCTATTAATACCTAAATAATATGAATACTGGATCGTGCTAAAATAAATTGTATGTCCTATTGTTTTGGATTAGTTAACACGCGTCTGTAAATATGTGTATATTATTAATACAGCAGTAGTTTAAATTGAAAATGTACCGTTAAACATTATGTGCCACAGAAAGCAGGTTACAGGTATGGAACTTACCTATATATTATATACAGGATATAAAACGATGATTTCGTACTAGTATATTTGTATAGTCAAGCCGAAAAATATTTATACGTTCAAAACGATATTATGACTTGCTCTTAAAAAATTATATTTTACTTATAAAATGTTTAAAATGTCAATAACCGCGTTTGCATAGTAACAATTTAAAGTGAATGTATAGATTACTATGAATTTGATGATAAATCTGGGACTATTAAAAATATCACGAAAGTAATTGCATTCCAGCGTAGTCTTATATTAGCGTTATTATTATTTTATACTTAATAAATTTTGTTTATAGCAAGAAGGCTATACACCAACTGATATGTAGGCGGCAATTTACTTGCTGTTGCTCGAGGGCCTTAAATTTCTAAACCTGACCCTGACCCACAGCTTTTTTGTAGCTGATAAACTATGATTTAAATTTATTATAATAATAAATTATTTGGCTCAAATCCGTAATCATATTATTAAAAATACATGCGAATAACCGCGAAATGATTGAGGCTCAAAGTTAGCATAAGCAAACATAATATTATAATAGTATATCACGAAGAATCGATTATTCGTCAATATCGAATGGCATATAGGCTATTTGTGACTTAGTTTCAATAAACGCTTTATGTTTAAAACACCAAGATGTATTACTTATTATATGATTACAATATATAGCGATTTTTTTTTAATTATATTTCATATAGTTTTATGAAAACGCCATTTAAAATCGCCAACGTTCTAAAATTAAATGCATTAGTAAAAGAAGCAATTATTACTTTTGGTGGTAAAATTTAGATTTGATTATCTGCAATGATGGTATTCTATCTGGGATTCATTTTTAATTTCATGATTGGGTAGAATCTATTTTCTGAATCATTTCACCTTAGGTAGAACTAAGAAAGGGCGGATCTGGACCAAGATGAGGGAACATGAGGGAGAGGCAATTTTTAAAATTAAAATTAAATACATTTAATATAATACGTTGTCCGGTTTCTACCAAGGCTTTAACTATTTTTAATTATTTTAATCAATTATAAACTTAATTAATTATAAATAAATATATATTAAACGGTGGTTGGTACATTTAAAACCCCTTGAATTTTAGTGATTTTATTTTAGAATGCAAGTGTGATCGTTCGCTTCACTTGTATCTAGTCATAATCTAAATCTAGAAGATTGAGCACTAAACATACGTCACACAACACCAGTGGTTTAATTAGAAACATGATATGAGGGAAAGATAATAATTTAATTATTAAACCTGTCTATTTTTTATTATTTATAAAATAACTTTAAACAAAAGAATGAAGACAAGTATTTATACTCAAAATTTGATAAATGTGCAGAAAGTTAATTACACACCCTTGAACGTTATTTAATGTGTTTAAAAATCTGGTAAAAAATTATAAGTAAATGTTTCACAAACGGTTTTATTTAAATATTAAACTTTTTATTCTATAAAAAAAGTAGAGCTGTGTGTAGGTACTCGGTTACTTCATAGCAATCATAATTTTTTTTAAATAATAAGCATGTTAACAATATTATTTTCATTAAAAAGTGTTGTAACAAAATGCAAAATTATAACATTAAAAACTGTTTTAATAAAGCATATAAACTGTGTAAATAAGGTTTTTGTTACCTAGTTTAAATAAGAATATGGTCATAAAATATAAAAAACAATAAAATGTGTTTAAAAAAAAATTATAACTTTTCATAGCATTATTCTGCATTGGACAGTTTTTAAAATCATCAATTATGTCTTCAGGATTTCAAAAAATTAATGACAAAGACTTCATGACCCTGAGTATAACGATGTAATAAAAAATTATTGTTGCTCACGAAAACACAATATCATATAATTTTATATTCGAATATCGATTTGATTGATGTTTTTTCTTTTCCTTCCTTCGGTATTTTCGGGCGCACAAGGTTCTGCGTTCGGGGTACGCAGTCGTATAACCCTGCGCCTACGCAACGACCGCAACGGACGACCGGGCAACGGAATTCGGCACCAGAAGATAGGAGGCGAGCGCGCGCGTACGATAATACCGTATCGGCGAAATATTACGGTGGTGGCGTTCACACTGCCGCGTCTGACCCGAGACCGGTTTGCGGTGCGCCGAGACCGGGCGGCGTTGTTGCATTCGTGCTCGTGGTCTTGGGTACCCGCCGGTGGTCACGTCGGCGCTCGCGCGGTGCCAGCAGCAGTACAGTGCCGTGATCCGCGGCAAACGCAACCGCTATCGTGTCGTCGGCGAACCGGATGCCGGAACGGACTATTAACGCAGACCGCAGTCGTTGTTCGGTACGCCGCCGAACCAGTTCTCACGGTGTCTCGCGCCCCGGCTCGCCGTTGCGGTGATCTCGAAAAAACCTATTATCGGTTTTCATTTTCATTCCATACGTTCGTCCGTCCCCCGTTCGCGGTGCATTTTCTAACGCGCGCGTAGGCGTCCGACAGCTCCGGTACGCAATGATCGTTCATACCACGGTTCTACGTTAGACGCGTTATCCGAGTCCGCCGACATTACCCCGGACGTGCGGTTCCGCGATGCTTTTGCACGGTGTACCTACGTAGCGGCCGACAGTTATCCGCACCTTCCCTCAGCCCCCTCCAAGCTACGTCCTCTCAACCAACCACTAACCCTGGGGGCCGACGACGGAATGTCCTGGGCAACGATCCGGTGCGCACAGTTCGAAGTGAAGAAAATAAAACGCTCGAACGGATTAATACACAGCGGTAACATATCGTCCGTAAGTGATCGTTTGCTTATTACATTACCTATCTGCATCGTGCGAAAACGTCAACGTCGTCTAGTGATCCCGGTGGAAATCGATAACTTGTAGATGCACTTGCACCTGTGTGTGTGTAAAATCTGGTGAAAATATGATACCGATAAAATATATTATCATAAACATTGGACTACGCGCGTCATAACTGGTCCCTTCAATGTCATCATAAACCGACTCTTGTTTTTATTCAAACGCATCGTAAGCAGTTGGTCCCAAGTTCCCGTGATAATTAGACATTTGTTTCACGTTCTTGCGAACAACATTTCCATCACAACTATAACCGTATATTACATTATATTAAACTACTACAAATCATGTTTTCGGTTTGAGCCAGTGGCATAATTTGTGGGATGCAGGTGTAGGCTAATATGCATTAGCTTATTGTTCTGTGGATTTGGTATTGTTGTTGGTAATAATCCATGTACAATATATTTGGTGATTATTCGTTAGTTTTGTTTATTACTATAACAAGAAATATTAAAAATATAATTCATGTAGAGGTGATTTCCCCAATATTTAGAGTAGGCAGCAACTTATAGGGTGGCAACATTTGGTCGGCGGAAAATTTTGTTGTGTTCTATTAAAATTCATTATTTGTATAAAAAAAAAAAAAAAAAAAAAAAGATAGAAAATACCTTATTTTATATTTACTTAACTGTCCGAAGAATGGTTTTAATAATGGTGGTTAATAAAAATTATCATTTTACGTTTTCATAAAAATTTGGAGGTCATCCGTTGAAATTTGTCCAAAGCAGGCTAAATATCTAAAAGTAAAAAAAATAAATATCTATATTAAAATTTAAGTGGAGTTAGGTATTATTATGTTTAATAATTGAGGTGGCAAATTTTTAGTATCTATAGTCGTAAAAAAGTTAAATCCGTCTCTGAATTCATGTAGGTAGTGTATTTTATGTAGACAAGTATCGCGCGATCTCTTTGTTGCTGATTTTTTATGATTAAGTTACAAATTTTCGAAAATAAAATACTATTTTTCTTTTATTCGGTAACCGTGAGAAGTTTATATTTTTATGAAATCGTGAGCGTGTACTATTTAGTGGACGAAAAAACTTGTTGTCGCTTGTTTTGTTGCCTGCTGTTTTTAAATTATTGTAAATATCATAGTAGATCTATAATTTATTTCGACTATAAATTATAGTTTTCATATTATTTTGTTACCACGTAGTGAGGGTTCTGACTTGTGTGTTAAAACTATTCTCAAGTTGACGTTCACCCTACAGTTTTAACGATAAACACCTGTCATTTTAGCACCCAGAACACGCCATGTGCATTGAATTAATCAAATTATAAATTACCTACATATCTATACTCGCGTGCTAAAATATTGTTTTCTTATTTAAAATTGTGGAGTGTTTTGTTAGGAGTTTTAAGTTAAAATATCATATTTGAAGAATCAACCAGAAATTAAATGCTTGGTTTTTTATAATTATTAGTCACTTATTTATTTCTTCGTTTGATTTTATTTAGTGAATGCATTGTTAAATTAAAAAATATTTTGTTTTACACAAAATAAAAGCTGAAAAGTGAAAATCATTTCAAATATACCTACATAATAATAATAATAATAATATTGTGATTTGTAACTGAAATCGGAATTGGAATGTTACAATTAGTTGGAAGCGAATGCATTTTTCTCATGGCTTGTATGTTCTTTTGTATTGTCTTAGAACTTTCACTTATTCAACTATTCCCATCGTAAATGTAATCTGTTTAAAAATATCGGACTCTCGGTGAATGTATTTAAGCACTGCGGCCAGCCTATGCAATATAAATATTTATTTATTTTTAAAAAAGTGGATAATTTTCTTGTCATTAATTTAGTATATTTTTATAAATAATATATTATCATATAATTAATTATTTTATTTGAATAAAAACGGGTTTTAAAGATATACCTACACGTTTAAGGGGTTACTATTGAATTTTAGTAAATTTTTGAATTTAGATTATAGATAAATAACCTAACTAACTTTTATTTGTAAAACATTTTTTATTTTTTCAAATGAAAAAATTATAATGTATTTAAACTTAAAACATACATGAAAAAATAAAAGACATCAATTTTGTTTTCTTATAAGTGATTTGGTCGATAGAAATATCTTTTCGTAGTCATTAAATTTAAATTTAAAAACCAATGAACTACTAATAATCATTCAATTGTAGTATGCTATAGAATTTATTGATATTAATATGGTTTAATTTTAGTTATTCGAAAATTATTTATTTTTTAATTTAACGTATTTTATTAGTTTTAAAAATAATATTTAATTATCCTTTTGATATTTTTCTAGAAAATTAATAAATAATAAAGTATATTATTAGTAATTGTGTTCCTCCTATTTCTCAGAAAACAATATTTTGATAATTTGTCTGCTATGAAAGGAATGCTTTCAAATGTTCTAGTATTCTATAAATTATGTATGTTTTACTGAAAACTTAAATACATTTCTAACTTATTTTCTCATGATAAATTCAATATGAATATATTTTCAAAACAACGCATGTATCTAATATCTAATGGAGTATATAATTTATTGTATGCAAACACGACTTATTAGTTGGTAAGAATTATTGATAAGAATTTTTTTTTAAATTATTTTCATAAGAATCACAAACAATGTCAAAAAACAATATTTACTACGTTAGTAAATTTACCAACTGATATTCTAAAATTAACTGTTTTTAATATGACGCGCATTTTAGTATCATTTTTTTATATCTTTCAGATTAATCTATTACATACTATAATATCTTCGATAAAATCTATCTAAAATGGTAAACAAATAAATAAATAAATAAATAAACAATGTTTATTTTTCTTATTTAATTAGGTGCTTATGAATAAATGATAATAATGTTTGATCGTGTTATGCGTCATAGAAAACGTAATTTTGTTTCCCTAAAAACCGAATATTAATTATAGTAAACCTAATACATAACTATTACCCAACTTTTATTTCTAACGTTTTAAGCGTTTAAAAATTAACATAATTTTCGTTATTAATAGTGTCTATTTTAATTTATTTTTAGTTAAAATATTCAAATCTAAATTAATTAATATGTTAATTCTTAGTTTTTAATTTTAGATTTCCAATACATTTTTATCATTTAAAATGTAAACATTAGTTCTTTATCATAAATTATAATGTAAAATGTTTATGTTTGTAACGAAAAATCTCAATGGAAAAATTTTATATTATACATATATTATAAAAAGAAAAATATATTTAGTATACTATAGGATTTTGAAATTCGATTTTTAAAATTTAAAATTTGTAAAATGAAGTACTATTATTAAGAATATCACATGTAATGTATTTAATTATATAATTTACTTGCTGTATCATAACATTGAAATTTGTTTATCACGTACTTTGATTTCAAATTAATATTGAACAATCAATTTTATGCTATGATATAAATAAGATAAAAATACCACCCAATTACCTAAAATATCTTGTTCCATAAACATAAAATAATTTTAATATGTATGTGTAATGCATTCAAATTAATATGTTTAAAATGTTCCTTGTTGAAGAATAGAATTGCTACATTTATTCGTCACGTCCTATGAACTTATTTACCATATTTGGCATAGTTGTTTTTTTTTCAAAAAGAGTAGCTATTCAAGTAATAAATAAATAAACGTGAGTACTGAATAGGTACATGTTTAATGCATAGTTTCATTTGGTTACTCACTAAACTGAAAATTATTTTATACAACAAAAACTATCATGTAGTTAAAATACACTGTATACATAGTGTATATTGTAGTTTATGTTCATTTACATTTTTCGAATTAAATAAAAATAACATTTGTACCTAGAATTTCATGTTATTTGTCCTTGGTACAAATTTATTAATAAAATGCCTAAGGCCTACCTACATTTTTTCATATCAGTACTCTTAACAGTTAGTGATTTAACTGTTGATACATTATCACTTATTTATGTAGTGCATGATTTTATGAATTTTTATGTCATTAGCAAATTGATGAATTCATTTTAATAATGTCAATTTGTAAGTATTTAGTTGCAAATATTAATATATGATTTTCTATTGAGTGTAAATTCGGATTTTTCTTTATTCATAAATTAGTAATAACCATGGATCTATAAACTAAGTAAATAAACTAGGTAATATGTCTATGGTAACAAGATGCCTTCACAAAAATGTAACGGAAATTGGTGAAGTATTATGTCTATGTACAACAATCATTTCCGTTATAACGTTAGTATCTAATTTTTTATAGCAAAACATTTCTGCTACATTGCATTTTTCAATAAACTGCTGAAATCAAAATCAATTATTAGAAGTTGATGTAAATAGCTGTGTTTTATAATGTAAGACAAATCGCATTGAAATGTTTTAATTTTTGTAAATTTATATTGATTATTGAACAATTATAATTGATATGTAAAATAATTGTTTTTTTTTTTCATGAATAATGTGATTATAATTAATTTAGGTATGTACTTTTATTAAATTTAAATTTTACTTTAACTTTAAATATTTGTAATTATAATTTAATTATCTAATAGATATGAGAAATATTGTTCTTATGTGCCTATAATCATTTAAAAATATTATCAATATAAAATTATATGGCATCTACCTACTTGTTATTATTCTATACATGAAATTGCAAATAAGTCAACAATATGTTAATAATAATATTAAAATTTTACTAATATTACCATACGTAAGTTGTTAAATTGTATTTATAAAATGTAATTTTTTTTCGACCATGTAACAATTCCTTAAAAAAAAATGAACGTTATTGTATTCTACGGGCTCCGTGATATACAGTACCTAATAAAAGTATTCTGTTCGTTTGAATTCTTAGATTTTAAATAATATATCGCATATACTTTGTAAATTTAAAATTTATTTTCCAAACATATCTAACAATAAAAAATAAAATATAAAAAAAAATTAAAAATGTGCAAATTTATGCGTGATATTATATATGTATATAATAGTTTCCGAGTACGCCAACGTTGCAATATAACACATAACGATATAATCAAAACAAATGTTATGTGTAAGAATGTTATTTATATGTATATATATATATATATATATCTGATTTGATTTCTAATAAATAAAAAAAAAACCTGAACAGGATTATGTTATAAATGTTTATTTTCGCCATACATGCCTCCGAATCGATTAACAACCATAATAATAATATATTTACAGGTCGTCAGTTAGTGTTTGAATATGGCTGAAAACATTGCGTTCAGTGACTGGTCGGAAAAGCTCGAGACTGCTGGAACTAATCATTGGCTTCCTGCGTACGGGCTCCAGCAACCGCCGGTGGCGATGGTCGGCAATGGCCATCAACAAAACGATCCCACATTCGATTCCGGCGATCGTACGGACTATTTCGATGATGACAACAATGGTAATTATAATCAAACGTACTATACCTTCGACTATTCCGTACGTTTTGTACTATATAATACGCACGCACGCACGTATGCGAGTAACATCAACCAAGACGTGCGCAACAAAAACCATACGTATATTCTTTGAAAACCTCGCTCGCGTCAGTATTCACATTTCTCTGTATTAAAACGACCAACACAGCGATGATCTATTGTTATCTACCATCGGCCATGATGATGTCGATCCTTATAATATTTCAGTGTAACTGAAAACAGAATAACGTCACTGCCGTCGATTAAGTCGACGATGACATTTTAACAAGTGAACAGAATGGAATTTTTCCTACCCTAGAATAAGCAGCTACCCATGAATAAGCATAATTATTCGAGTCGTGCGTTAACGAGTAAAACAAAATAAAATTAATGTAATAACGAACGTTTACCAATCGTGTACACGTGCCGCATGTATGTATTTTCTAATTATTTGAGAAACGTGATCGTCTTAAATTATGTGTTCTTTCAACACTCTATTTATGTGTTTAGTATATATTTATAATATTCTTACACCATACACGTACATATCGTAAATATTTCCTACAGATGTATCTATACGTAAGAGCCAACTCTTTTGGTTTCGGTGTTTAGTATTATTTAGAATCTTTATTCTTAAGACTTGAATTGTATTTTTTGGTGATCGTAGTAAAGGTAAACGCTACAAATTGTATATGGTTTGATAAAATCTATTGTTTCACGTTTAAACAGTATAAGAACGCCAGGGAAATATATTACTAAATACTGACGCCACTTTTTCAGTTTATTGATTCAGCAGCGTGCCAATTTAGCCATTGATGATAGGATCAATTGATTTCTATGATACTAGAAAATGCTTATACGATATCGAGTAGACAATTTTTTATCTAAAATAATATAAAGTACTAGTGCCTCTCGAGAAAATTTGTTTTACCGTTCAACGTATCACGTTTTCCCTGAAGCCATGTCCAATCACAAGTACATTGAACCGCTTACAGAAACGACCACGACATTGTAACAAGAGCAATTTTGTTGTTTTACGTACTGGTTACACCAGCCTACGGGTTATATATTCGTACAACCATCAGCTGGTTATTAATTATTATCAAGTGATATCGCATTATGTGTTGTGTACGGTTTATCATTTTATCGAAATAATAAGGCGTAGCGTAAGTGATAATTTTGCATCATTCGCATTATACATATTACTGTTTCTAGGAACTGTTTTTTATTCGCTACTTATTTATATATATATAGTACTTACTGTTTACCAATACTGTTACTCGATAGAGTCCATTTTATTTTGTGCTATTTATGTTAGAGTAAACTCGTTTTTTGCACGCACAGTTAACACTGTTAGTGAATGTATTTTTTAAATCTTATAGTTGTTATCTTATTCTTAGCCATGATTAAAGACATATATCTTTAATCGTTTTCTTAACTGTATCGAAGTTGTTGATAAAAGTAAATATATATATTATTGAATTTCTTAATAAATTCTCACGATAGGCGTTTACATATTTCCATATTGTATACGAGTCGGTTAGTATATAAAACGTTTCATGTTCATAATGCATACAAAATCATCGATGTGCTAAGTATTTATTTTAAAGCAATTTTTATAGTATTTTCATTTTAAACTATAAAATTATTTAATACTTCATACTTACTTCAAGTGAAATTAAAAATCATGCTGGGATTGAATCTATAAATTAATAAATGTTTTTCGTAACGAAAAATTATTTAAATTATATTTTAAACTAAATATCGTATTTAAAAACCCACGTTTTCATGTTATTCGTATTAAATAGTAAAATGTTAATTTTATATAGTTTAATCATGTATACATACAGTATAGATTTGTATATTATAAATGTATTAACAGTTGTTACTGTCTATGTACTATAGTCGTAATACCTACGCATCTGAACAAATTCTTAATTTAAAAATGAATATATTGTAAAGTGAATAATTTAGTTACTGCAATTACTTTACACTTTTAGTTGCTATAGTTTGCCCCCGCAGAAGGATTACATATATCACCAACATTTATTTTTAAAAATAAGGGTATTTAGTATTTTTAATTATATTAAAACGGATTATTATGTTATCTGATTAACATTTATAAACAAACGATAAACCTAATTTTTCTTGTAAACAAATGTAAAATGTAATTAAAAATATATTAACTACCTACCTATCAATATTTTTTTATTCGTTTTATGTTTATTAACATATATAGCTTATTCTAAACTTCTATAAATTCAATGTATGAAAAATATATTGCGTTTGACATATTTTGTGCAGTCGCCTTAACAATATCTGATAATGCATAATATATACTATAGTTTAAAATAGCGTGGCTTATGAACGAATATTATTATTATAAAATTATGATATATGTTTAAGATTAGACAATAACTTAGACTCTTTAAATTCATACAACGTGTTTACATATAACCAGTATTTGTACAATACTTTTCTATGTAATTCAAATAATGTTAGTAGTTCATATAGTAAATAATGTGAATTGCACTGTACGAGGTGTAATATGGTTATCGCGTTATATCAGCGAACAAAATTGCTCAGGAACTTCGGTAAAAATAGGCCAGTAACGTGGCAGAATATTACTACATACCGTTATTTGGCTTCACGGAAACTACTTGCAGTTTTAAATCCATTCTATTTCTTGAGCGCGTCGTCACCGTTCACTCGTGCTAGATTTTTTTATAACATTCTACTTATGATAACAGAAAAATATCATTACTACCGAAAGCTAATCATCCATGTTCTGTTTTATAATTAACCACAAATGTCATGGTTCTTTTTAAAAATAATGATTTATTGCTATAAACATTTTTCTTGCGTTATGATAGAAAAAAAAGTGCATTCAATATTCACTACCCACTGAAATATGTGTTTATGAAACTTGGTTGTTGGATTATATTATTTTGTTGTATAGATACATACTGTTTTGCATAAATTTGATGTATAAATTAGGCGCGTATACAATGTTCATAAAGCGTGATGAGTGATGACCTCATGTTAGGAGTAAAACACCGTAAACGTGAGTTGTGTTTTGATTGCTAATGATGACTAGACATAATGATAGGTATAAATGTTTAGTAAAAATGGCATTTTTAGAATAAAACTGAATAACGGTATTTTACTGTAAAATAAAAAAATTAATCATTTTTTGAAATTAAACTTTTCAGTTTAACTTGCTTTTAGTTCTACAAATTTATTATTTTCTGAACTAATCGTGATCCAATACCTGTTAAATTGAATTATTATAGAAACACATCTAACAGTACAATATTATCAAAAATAAATGTTAAATTTTTTTGTCAGTGCTCATTTTATCTACGATCTTGTAGAGATTTAATAATTAAAGCATATATAATATGTTAATATATGAGTGAAGGATTTATTTATTTTTCTTTAAATCATTACTTATTATATTATAAATTTTTAATATTACCTCTCCGATGATTGTGTCGATCTGCCTCTTGACAACTGTAGTTGACTCTTCAGGTATGAAATAAGGCGACCAATTTATATTTTAAAATGACAATAACTTCCTTTTTTTTAACTCATTTATATTAATTTTATTTAAATTACTTATACACACATTAATACACTTATTTTAAACTTTTACAGAACGTTTTACAATTACTTATATCCTTCTGCATAGACGATCTGCGTAGTCTTTTACACTCGCCTTTGACCGTCTATACCAAAGGATAACAAGAACGCGTCTGAGGTGTTTGAAAATGTTGCTCCTTATGTTTAATGTCAACTGTGTGTGTGTGTGCTATATTTTATCTTTAGTACATATGACCTATTTTTATATTTAATGTGTACTGATTATTATAGTTATTTAATTGTACATTCATTTTTTTTAAAAAATATATGAATGCTTAGGCGTATATTATTACAATCTATTTGATCCTTAGAAATAATCTGTTGTCACAAATTGGTCCGATGATCAGGAATGATGGTTTTAATTTTGAAATTTATTTTGCAAAGTAAAAGTTAAGCTCTAGCAGACGTTATATAAATATTACATTACTGATTGAGAAATAAAGTAACTTGGAAGATTATTGAATCGCAAATATCTCCGAAAGAACAATAATTAACAGTAATTCGCCTATCCGTTAAGAAATAAACAACGAGGTTTTGTTAAATCGGAGTATATAATCATGTGAACTATGGTTATCTATGGTAAACTTTAAAATAAAGTAAAAAAATATTTATTTTATCTCATTTCACAACTTCAATTATTCGCAGTATGGTACTCAGATAAAATAGACCTTCAAAATATATTTATCTAGTGCGTATTTTATGAGACTTTTAAGGAACTGAAAATTTTCAAAAAAAAACCTAATCATTTTAATATAACTAGGTTTTTAGCAAACATTATCCCCATACATAAATGATATAGTATCAGTTAAAAAATTAATTAAATTATTTTTCATTTTCCTATAATTAATTATTTTAATCAGCAATAGTTCATACCGTAATGTTTAAATAATATATCGAAGCACACATTTTATTAATGAAAAAAAAATACACATACTATATATTATTAATGAAATCGGTACACTAATAAATGATAAGTATTGAAATTTGAATATATCATTAATCAAATCAAATTGTTAACGTCTTATAAATAAATAAAAATGTTTTATCGGATAAAAAATTACACCGACTAAAAATATTTATTATTATATTATTCGTATTAACATGTACTTACCAATATTTCTTATTTTATAAATGAGTTGGAAACAATTTTAAATTCTAAAAATTATTTAATTTAATTTTTTTTTATTATTCAAGTCCGTGTAAATTTGAATTGTATGTTCGTACATTTGAAAGAATAAATTAAATATTATTGCGGTTGTATATTGGTACTTTTAATAATATATTGTACTTTGAAATGTGTTCAGCAAAATCATTCCTAGACTTGAGTTATGGATGAATAGGTAAGGAACAGGGTCTAAAGCTTCACCTTTTTTTATATCTGTTGATTACTTCCATTTTAACATTATTTAGGGCTTTTAGTGCTAATTTATCATTTATTTATTTTATTTTATTGGTTATACACTTTTACTTGTAATATATATAAAAAGTTAAATTATCGCAAAGGTCATAATGGGATATTGAGCCTTTGAATATAAGTGCTTACCCGTTCAAAATTCACTCCGTAATTTTTATAATTTTGACATTCTGAAAATGACACATTAATTGTACTTCTATCCATCTCGTTTTAATTTTCCATTTAAATGTTCGTATACCGTATGTGTTCGCATGACTGATTGAATACATGTGTAGTATCTTATGCTTTATAGTAACGTACTTTGTAATAATTTCATTGTCTTTGGCGTTTTGGTTACACTTGTATATCACAGTACGTGGCCGCGACGATGTGAATATAACGTATATAGTATATACTATATACCCAACAACTAATGAAATATGTTAAACGATTTGCCGACACATTGACAAAACATTATGTAAAATTGCTATAACAAATACGTGGGCTAATTGTAAATAATTTCTATAGGTATTATTGGTATTAGACGTCGTCACTATGTCATAGCAGTTTATTATGGAACAACACAATTAACAAAACTGATTTATTTAAAAACATGTGTCTCAATTAACAATAAATTAACAATTTTTAAATTCATATCAATACCAAATACGGTATTTAATATTTTGTCATTTTGACATTATTTACTTACTCTTCGAACTTAGCTAAATATTTTTGTAATTGATAAATTAATTTTTTTCTTTGCATGTATTTCAGAAGACAATCTTTGTGATAACGACGACGAAGATAATTGGTCATCGTTCAGTCAAAACAATTATAATGGAAACCTTGTAAGAAGCACATCTTACATTTTTCTGGAAACAATTCTAGAAGAAACTTCAGATGATTTACGGACGGATTCCGAAAGAAGTAGTGAAGAAGGTTTTATTTTTACTATATAAATAATAAATATTTAATAAATTAGATAATAATTTTAAATATTACTTATTTACAATTAATGAAATAATTAATCAGATTAATATAATTAAAAAATATCTCCTTGTTCTATAAATAGTAGTTTTTTAATAAAAAGTATTGATACTACTTGGAATTTAATTTACTTATTGTTCAAATTTCAAGTATTTTCAATAAATTATTTAAAATGAGTTTTAATAATTATTAGTTAGTTTTATTTATTTTTTTAATTATTATTATTCTTTTTAAAAATTTGATTATATTAATCTGTATTATATGTCATATATCAGTTATTAATTTTAATATAATTCAATTTAGTGGTGGCATAATTGTGTAGTAATATGTTCACATGTACATATAATTTGAATTATCAGGGAAATATAATACATCTTGGTCATCCATCTCTATTATTGGATTGGCCAGCCAATTTTTGTAATCCAAATAAGTAATCTTTAGAATGAGCTCTCAGAGTTATTGGAAAAAAATTAATTTAAACCTCAAATAATTTATACCATACGCTCAATACAATGAATTTTAATACTAATAATTTGAAAAAAAAATTTAATTTATGGTTATTGAGTCATCGGCTATTGAAATTTGATATAACTCAAGTAACATATAAATATCTATATATTCTTCTATTAGCATTATTTTTAACCTATGTTCTTATGCTTACTTATAAAAAGTTTTTTGATATTAAATTTTAATTAATATTTATATTGTTTACATATAATACATAATTTTTATGGATTCTTTAGTATTCAAGTTTCCCTATTTACATAGGTATGTACTAATATTAAATTAAAATATAGTAATATTTATATATTATGTGTATAAATTACTATTTTATCAATGAATACATAAGCCTACTATTAACATAGTCTTTCATGATTTTCTTGACTAATATGTTTTAAAGTTCATTTAATTAAGTACATAATCATATTGTATTAATTATTTATAAAAACAATACATAAATCAAACAACATAGTTTAAATCATAAAAAGTATTTATTTTTTTTTACTTTTTTATTAACTTTCAATTCTATGTGTTTATTCTTATTTACTAAAAATTTGTTACTTTATCCTTGATATTGAAAAATAGACCTACAATTTTTAATGTAAAACATTTGTACCATATTATAAACGAGTTTTGAAACATACTAAACGATAATTTACGTATTTCCATATACTATATTGCTAAGGGGAGTTTGGAATCACTCTGTTTTCTGTTTATAATTTATATGAATATTTATACTATCTATTTTTGTTTGTAATAAGACGTCTTATTCTTTATCACTTTATTGAAATTGCGTTCCTAGAAATGTTTGATCAGGCAACTTAAACAGCACATATGTTGTAATATAAAAATATTTACGTATTTCTTATAGGAGTTCTGTTGAAATCCAATGCTTCTTTCAAATAATTGTATTTTTAAAAAACTATTCATAAATTATTTTAAAAACATTACAATACTTATTATTTTATATCTTTTTATATTTAACGTGAATCATTTTTATTATAAATAATTATTTATTTATTAAAGTTATAACACCCTGAAGGGGTTATGAGTATAGCATTATTGTCTACAAAAGATTTATAGCTTATATAAATATTAAATTTGTAAAAAGAAAATAAAATTACATAAATATATGCATTTATATACAGAACCGTGGAGATAAATCTACGGCCCCAGAGACAAATTAATTCAGGCCCTTCTCACATGAGGTTTTAAACTTGCCACTGACATCCAGTATCTTTTAAAATGTGTATTCCAAAGAGATAATGTAATCGCAGTCATGATTATTTCATAGACTAAATGAAAATAATTATTTATAGCATATGGATTTTTCTTGAAAATGTTATTTGTCTACGTTTTAGATCAATATTGTTGTGTTCACTTTATTGTAGATTTGTTATAACTATACAGCATACGCAATGATTATTTGGGTAGATTGGTAGCACGATTCATGTTGGTGATTCACAAATAGCTCGACACCATGACCGAGACGTAGTGTACTCGGTCAGGCCCCGGGCCTTTTTTGAAGTCTGGACCCTTGAGTTACAGCCCAAGCTGCCCCTCCCCCCTTTTCGTTGGGCCTGCATATATACATAATACAATTATTTAAGCTAATTTATTATGATCCTATAAGTTTTTGTTATTTCTTGATTTATTTATCATTTTTACATTTTTATTTAATCTAAAATAATATTTTTACATTTACAATTGCATTTATTACCTAATACTATTATACTTGTTCATTAATTGTCAAATAGTTCTTTACATGTTTAAGTTTTGGATTACTCGTATTTAGAAAATCTCATGAAATTTATAAAAATCGAAGCATTTAAAAAAAAATCTTCATATAAGTTCTGATTAATATATATATATAAATAAATAACTAATTTATAATTAATACATACCCATTACTAACTATTACTATTATTTTTTGAATTTTTAGATAAATAATTTATTATACCTGTTATATAAAATATGTATACTCATTTTTAAATTCTATAAACTTAAACGTATTTTTATTGGATGATTATTTACATTTTCCATTTAATTTAACTATTACAACTGTATCATGTTCTCCTTGATTTATGACAATGAGCTCAATTATATATAATTCAGACTAAGTTATGTCACTGTTATTGACCTTTATGTAATTGGTAATTTGAACCAATAAATAAATAATATTTCAATGAGGTGAAATCATTAAATTATTAATCACCCATTTGCGTATAGTATTATAAATTCGTTGTTTTATACTTGATGGGTACATGATTTATAAAAGTCATCTAATAATCAAAGAAACACTACTCATATAGTAGAAAATTGATTTAAAAATGATCTCTACTTAATTTATTTAAATTAACTAATTATTTAATCTAAAGTATATAAAGTGTATTATTGATAAGATAAAGTTGTTTAAATCATTACGTATCATCACGTAATTGTTAAAAGTCCGTTGAAAGCACGATGATGTTAAACGTTTTCATTTGAACGTTCATTGGTTTAATTGTGAATGTATGTTTTATAGTTTTGTTTTTGCTTCGCACGAGAAAATTCTAAGATTCACTGACCTTTTACAGATTTCATAAAGGAGGATAACTGGTCAGTAAAAAATCGCGATCCGCTTAACTGGTTCAGTTCGAGCAACAATAAAAATTCCTCGCACAGGGTGTACAACAACAACGATCCGGGGGTGCATGACGACGAAGATAACGACACTGTGTTCTACAGGGACAACCTGCAAAATCATCATTTGTGGACGGGCGCCGGGCTGCTGACTAACGGATGCGGCGGCGGCAGTCTGTTGCAGTTCGAGAGCCTGGAAAAACAATGCGAACAAACGGTGTTCCGGACCACCGCCACCGCCACGCCGTTCATGTCCAACAGCGCGGAGTCCCTGAACTCTCAGCATCCCGCAGCGGCGGGGGTGGGCATCGCGCGTCCACGGAACGGCTGGAAACAGCAGGTGGACGTAGACGACACGTTGGACGAGGATGAAAATGCATTGTGCAGCACGACGTTCTCAAGCTTCGCAGGCGACGGGTCCAGCAGCGCGAAGTCGCTGAGCAAGAGCATGGAGAGCGTGCACTCGGCCGCGAGCCGGAAGCGGTGTCACCGGGATGGCATGAACGACGTGTCCCAGAGTCTCGAGGATTTGCGGCGATGCGGGGGTGAAGGGCCGTACGACGCGTCGACATTGTCGTCGGCAACGGTCGTCCCACCGCCTGCCGGCGGCATGTACAAAACGGTTGACTGTCTCATCGATCCGGCGTACCGGAAAACCGATGACGACTATGACGAGACAGACGGTAAAAAACCGGAAGACGTGGTCGTGCAAGAGGTCGGCGGCAAGCAGGTACAGCTGCAGCGATCGGCGGAGAACTTGAGCGAGGACAGCGGTTTCGGTGATCAGGTTCCCCGCAGTCACTCGGCGGTACAAACGTACACGCCGATTGTCGAGGACGAAAACTATTTTGAGATGTCGACGAAAAGCATTGCGGCGGCGGTGGCGGCCGCCGATACCGCCGCTGTTTCCTCCAACACGATCGTATGCTGCGCCAAAGTCGCGGAGAAGGGGTCGACGGACGACGACGACGACGACGACGAGATGAAATCTAAATTTAACGTAGCCTGGCACAGCTATCCCGATCTGGGCGATCGGCCGTCAGTGACTACGGATTCTCCTACGACCGACGACGACGACGACCAACGCCATCATCACCACCTCCACCATCACCACCGCGACGGTATGATGGCGTCCCGTTTGCCCATGTCAAGCACGCCCAACCTGTGCGCCGACGGTCTGCTGGCGGACGGAGCCTCCGCCGGCGGGGACTATCTACGCTCCAAGAAATTGCTAGACTCCACCGTATCGTTGGACAGATCGCATTCGTTGAAGCGCATACACTATGAGAGCGAATCGGCGTTAAGCGCGGCCTCCTCGCGCGGCAGCAATCTGCTGATAACCACCAGTTTTGTCAACCTGGCCGCGGCGCAGGCACCCAACAAGGGTGTGCACTTTTGTCCCGTCGTGTCCGAGGTGAACTGGCGCGAGAGCTTCAGCACCAGTACCGCCAGCAGCAGCACGGATGCGGGAGACGGCGGTAACGAGTCGGAAGGACCCCCGGACACGGAAGAAGAAGACGAAGACGACGATGACGACTACGAGACGGCGGCTGCGGCCGCGGTCACGGCCGCCTACGACCGGGCCAGCGACGAAGTGGACGAGAACATTGACACAATGGTGATGAAACTGTTGACCGGTTTGCCGTCGGAAACCAGGCGTCCGAGTGTGGCAGAAAAACAACAGCTGCGCGAACGGCTGGACTTCATTACGGGCGGCTCCCCACCAATGTCGCATAGGATCATCGCCGCGCCCACCAACACCGGTTCCGCCGCGGTGCAGTCAGTCGGCTACGACACGTGCAGTCGCAGTGCGCAACAGTCGCGTCCAGCCGAAGCCAACCACACACCGACAACGACGTCTTCCATGTCGTCCGCGACCAAATCGAAATCGATCGGCGGCAAGCTGGGTGGATTTTTCCAGCGGTTCTCGTTGCGCAGGCTGAGTGGCCGGCGCGGTAAGGACAAGAAGAAACAGCAACGGACCGAGGATGAGGCCGCGGCGGCCGGCGGTGGAACGATGACGGTTCAGGCGCCGCCGCCACCACCGGGCAATTGTAGACCCGACACGCCGCCGCCCCCGCCACCCGTTTCGAGGCGATCGTCTACGGCCGCGGACAAGGGTAAAAAACCGCCGTTACCCCCGCTACCCCCGTCGACTGACGGGTACGCAACGCGCCGGCGCCTCATGTACGACGAGAATCGCGGTGGCCGACTGCCGCCGCCACCGGCATTGCCGACAGCCGGCAGTCGCGCGTCCCTACAATCGCGGTCGCCCGCCGCCGCGATGTCCCGCCCGGATCATCATCGAGCCGGTTTGCTCGAGACCGACTTGGACTCAAATGTGACCAGAACGTCGTCCTCTTCGCTAATGATGGGCGGTGGTGGATGCAGCCCCAACAAAAAGGCTCGCAGTCTGCTCGACCTGGGTGCGTCGTCGGCCAAATTGTCTTTGGCGCCCAGTGACTCGACCCGACCATCCGCCGATGGGTCGTCTTCGAATACCACCGATCACAGGGCCAAGTCCATGGAATTTTTGCTGGACAAAGAAAACCAAGCGGCCATACAGGTGAACAATAATGAGTTTAATATTATACCGTTTGTGTACTATATTGGCTTATATATTATTAAATGTGTGTACTGCGTACACCGTGCACACGTCGCAAATAAATTATGTTAATGCGATATTGTCGGTAGTTCGTGGTCGTTCGTTTTATAACGAAAATAAATATAAACAATAATGTTTTTATGTGAAAACTTCAATATCAAGTGTGTGTGTATATATATAGGTCAAAGAGGATTATTTGGGTGGTGGCGAATTTTATGGGTCATTCGGTACATTCAGGTCATCCGATGGGGGAGGGGCCGTTTGTCAGAACGCAATCAATACAGCATCGTGGCTCTGAGCGTAACTGTTTATAGCAAAAATAATAATTTTCTTATCTTTTGATTACGGTTAAAAAATGTTTGCACATTTTAATGAAACAGTATAAATTTGTTATACTTTTGACGCAATGTTTAGATTTTATATTTACCTAGTTTAATATTCATCACAGTTGAAAATAAAAAATAATTCAAAATATTATAGATAATATAATAGTATTCATTAAAAATATGTTGTTGATTTTTACATTTAAATTTGTGTAGTTATTTTTATAACATTTTTTTAGTGGTTTTAAGTTGTAGTTGTAGTTGTTGTTATTGGACCCTTTCTGTGATATTCACCCATGCGTGTTACGTTAATTTTACTAAAACGCGTGTTCTAAGTCCTTTTCATTCAATAATTTCACACAATATACATCGTATGTTTACTAAACAGTTATAAGCAGAGGGAAAAATATATTAACGGGTTTCGATGAATCTTATAAGCGTGATAATAATTATTAATTAAATTAGCACAAAGAATAGATTTCTGACTGAATACTATATAAACAACTTAGTCATTCCATAGAAAATAATTTACGACTCTATTTAAGCCTGAACAATTGTTCGTCAAATTTTGAATTGTTTGCATGATTGTGGTGACATTGGATACATATTAATTAGATTTGAACAAATTATATGAAGTGTATTTTAGTTGTACGTAATTATAGTATGTGCAATATAAACTATACAATCACTATTAAAATAAACACTATAGTATATTGATTTTAATTCATAATGATTCATTATTTTGTCTTAATAAATAAGCATATACGAGTATATAATAAGCACAACGTATTTACTCCGAGTACATTATAATTTTATAATGTCTATAATTCATTCAAACTTAAATGTACAAATTGCTTTATAAAAATCATTAAAAACTTTATATTTAGAATTTGTTCAAGCACATATACGCCTGACTTGTATCAATCAAAATATTTAATATTCATGTTTGCTTCAGTATCATATTTAAATGTGTTCTAAAGTGTAGGAATTTCAAATCTGGAATTAAAATAAAAACGTTTTATTCACATTTATACAATTAATTAATGACAGAGTTTGTCCGGCATATGTATATTTTCTTCAATATTTGCAAGACAATAAAACATTTAAACAAACATCTGTTTTGTTTTAAATTCTTATAAAGTTCTGTTTTAACTATATAAAAACACAGTTAATACTTTTACTGCTAATATTGTACCTTCATATTTTTTTAATAATATATTTAATTTGAAAATTAAATTATATATGAAAAAACATTAATATGTATCTTTACTATACATGCATACATATTATATATATTTTAAAAAAAATAAATAAAATATTGATAATTTTGCATTTAATAACAAAATAATGTAATGAGTAGGGCTCGGAAGTTGTTGCATTTGCATGTTATTTTGCACGATTGGATTTATTGCTAAGTGAGCTAGAAATTCGTTCCAAGATACTACGAAAACCATATCAAAAATGTATAGTGCATATTTTTGCATATTTAGTGATTTTTAGATTTTATAGCATATTTCTTAACTTTACAATTTCTTAGAGCATATTTTATGATTTTTGAAGATTCAGAATGAAAATTCGAAAAATAAAAAATTAATTCATTCATATTGAGAGAATTTTCTTAATATTCTTGTATTGTATTTTTCAAATTTCCATTTGACATTAAAAACAATGTTTTTCTCCTATTGGTTTATATAATATACATATATTTATAAATTATAATTACTGCTAGCTTCATCTAAAATAAAATATTATACAAATATCAAATAGGAGCAGCTGCTATCGAAATACAATGATTTTCTGTAACTATTTTTCTAGGAAATAATGATTATTGAACATTCTACTAGTGCATTTTATTTTATTTAAGAAACATTTTTAATGCTATTTTATTATTATTATTATTTTTTTTTTTAAATCAAAATTATTTTTATTACTTTGCTTTTTCTATATTTATAATTTTATAAAATATTTGTGCAAATGAAAATTTTGTGTACAAAAATAAAATATAAGTGCATATTTTTAGAGCATATTTGTACTTTTTTAAGCGCATAAGTGCATGCACATATAGTATTTTTTAAGTGCATTAAGTTCCGAGCCCTAGTAATGAGTAATAGATTTTAAATCACCTATTTCACAATTGTTGGTAAATATAAACGGTTATTATTTATACTTTCTGTACTACCTCCGTTCCTTATAACGCCCACAAACCTCTACCCAAACACTAAACTATATGCGTATTTATGATAGCTGTTAATATTAATAAAATGAATTCCTATGCATTTATAATTATTCTTTTCTATATTACTACATTTTTAACGAAAATATAAAAATAAATTTCTGTTTAAAAAATGATTCCACCTATAATTATTAAATTTAAAATTAAAACTGAGAAAAAAGTGAAGCTGTTACGTTATTTTAAATGAGCTGTTTTTCGATGTTTTATGAAAAATAGTCTATTGAATATTATCTGTATATAAATCCTGACTTAAGATTACAAGTAAATATTAACTTTTACTTTATTTTTCTACAGTAGATTCATTGAAGTTTTGCAACGTTTTGACTGAAGTATAATGCCCATAGAACCGCACATAGGATATTCGTGCACATGTAGGCCAATCAATAATTCATAAAGTCCACCTACTGCATATTCCCCTTCTTATATTGTCAACATGCCAACACTCAGTGTACATTATTATAAAACTGTATATTTTTGTTTTTTTAGTCTTGGTTTTACCTAGTCCGTTAAGTATCTTAACTGTTTATTTTTAATGTCCAGGAAAATGTGGTTTATAGTACTTGTTGCCAAATCCAGTACACCACATGGCTAGTTGATGTAATTAGTCAAGTTTGTCCATAATCTATGTCATACAATTATAAATCGTTCTAATTCTTATATATTTAAATTTTTAATTATTCGATTGTGTATGAGTTTTATAAACATGTTTTGGCACGTTAAGAATTAAAAAAAATATTTCAATGGAGATCTAAAATAATTTATTTTCATCATCTTTGTACAAATTACATGTACATAAAATAGAGCTGCAGAAAAAATTACTATATAGATTTACAAATTATAAGCTATTGAATCAATCTTTAAAATAATACATTTAACAACTTATATTCATATTTTGGGTCACTCTTGTATATTGAAAACATATAAAACAATTAACATTCTTTAAAAATTATTAAATGTTCAATTAAACCTTATAATTTATAAGGTTTAATTTGTTGTAGATACGAATAGTTTCAACTGTATAAGTTATTACTTAAATTTAAAATGTTTTAAATACATTCAATTATTGGTGGATTTTTATTGGAATTTTTTATTAATTAAATAACGTAAATTTATTATTAAATATTAATATTTATAATATCTAAACAACTATTTCAATAACGATCCAATACTATTAAAAGTTTGAAATGTAATATAAACAGTTATATTTGGGAGTCATTTATATTTTTTATAATATAAAAATATATAGTCTATAACTAATTTACTCGTGTTCATATGTAAAATAGAATGGCATTGTCTTAATAATATCTATTACCATCTTCACCAGTATAGTGTCAACGACCATAATATATGTAAATAACATGACCTACATTGCTCACATAACCTACATGTATAGTAAATTTTGATGAATCGTCAATACTTCATATAACAGCAACCCTTAGTAATTTAGATCTATTTTCCAAGAATTATTGATAATATACTTTAATAAAGCTAAGTTATTAGTAGTTTTGAAATAAAAGTTCACCTTGTATTCCCTTCCTCTCTCCTTTATTCTTGCACATTGTTTGGTAATGTCGTGTGTCAGCTCAAAGTAGGGCTCATCGTGACAGGTAGGCGGTACCCACCAGTTTTTAACTTGGAGATAACATTTATATACAGAGTGATTCTATAAACTAATTTTATTTCTTGCTTTAAATATTACAAATTATGAATTTTAATTATTTTTATTAAATTATATTTCACTCTATAGAATTGTACTATATTGAGTATATTAATTCTTAATTCTTGAGTATAATCATTTTAAAATAGTCGTTAATTGGTAAGCAACCTATTTCACGACAAATATATTGATGTCAAACTGTTTTAGTACTTCTAATTAAATAATAAACTAATCAATTTTCTAAAATTATTGTTATTTACAAATGTTTCCAATTTTCTTCTTGATTTAAAAAGAAATTCTTTATGATTTGTGCATACATCTTACAACAATATGAGACAATTAACTCTATTCTGGATCTTAATCTAAACTTTGGAATTCACACATTTTATTTACTAATATATTTAAAATAATAATAACTAAATAAAATCGTTATTATTTATAATTATTAACTTTTACGTTCATCGTGATATTTTACGTCCAAACAACGCTGTAGTCACGAAAAATTATAGATCACGCTATAATATTTAAAGACAAAAACAAAGTAGGCGGAGTCAGTTTGATTACTGTCAAACGTCAAACCCTTCCGTGTATTGTTTTAAATTCTCCTTAGAATAGTCGGCTAAAAACTACCCATACATATGGGCTTTGCTGCACTGAAATAATATGTAACTTCCTACATTTCAAGTAACATCTTCATCCTCCATATGGAATTTTATCAAATTAAACAGCCATGTTATCTGTATCGCTGCAAGATAATTAATCTTGAGGTATTTGGAATATGATGTATTGTTTAAATATTTTGGTCAATAAAATTACTTAGTAAATTATTGTAATAATTACAATTAAATTTTGTAATCATTGTAAAGTATTTGTGTCATTTTATTGTTATTTATTTTTTATGCACTATATCTTGTTTAGTCTTGTTAATATTTTTAAAATCACCCTTATTTCAATTTAAAAAAATACCATTTTAATTAATTAAATTGTTAAATTTTCTGAGGAGTAAAAAAATCTTAAAATTTAACAAATAATATAATCTAGCACATATACATGTATACAATGTATACATGTCATGTATATAGTAGTAAATTAATTTAATTATAAATGTAAATTATGTTTTGATGTAGAATATTTTTGGTATTATTATTGGTGAACTATTTAAGTTTTGATTTTATTTCATTTTTGCGTGTTACGTTTAAATGTTTTCTGAAGTATCTACTAATATATGTATATTTTTGACCTACTTATTTTGAAGTTGTCTACTTTATTAATTATTGTCCGATCGAAATTGATTCCACCCATTTCACATTCGTGTGAAATATCTATCTGATAAGGGAACTATTACAAAAAGTTTTTAGTCAGATTGGATTCTTTTCATTTCATAATAATTGTTTTTTAAATCAATAATACTTGCTACTTAGATATAATAAATTATGACATATCGTAAAAATTATTTGCAAATCATTAATTTATTTTTTTATTTTGACTGTTTTTTATCTAGATTAAAACTTTAATAATATTTTGTTTTATTTTTAACTAATTGTTGTGTACTTTTTCTGTGAATCTATAAAATATATAACATGATTTTTATTATTAACATATGATTAATATTATATTAAAATAATATTTATATTACTGTTTATATGTTTAGACTATGTATAAATGTTACGTCATTATGTCATAATTATGTTAAACGCTATGAATGTAAGGGTCATACTGTCAATAATATGTGGTCAGGGATATCGCAAGTCTTATAAGAGATGGAATAGATCGGTATACACAACAGTAGTATGTCCCACTTCTCGCCTCTTTTTGACCTTTGAACATGGTTGTGTCAATCGTGTGTATTTCGTATTAAAAATTCTAACATTTTCTTTAGTCTTAATAAATGATTAACGTATTTTTCGAAGTTAATATTAATTGAACATAATACTTAGATTTATTTAGAAAGCTCATCAAATTCTTTAGTTAGTCTACAAAAATTCTTTCAGAAATATATTTTTAAAACTAATTCTGTTTCGTGGACGGGTCTCCCTCCAATAAAACACACATTCCAAAATTTTATTTTGAAATAATCTCATGAAATTCACATTGAATGGATGAAACATGAATCCTCTTATATTCATGATAAAAATAGTTTTGAGTTGTGACCATTTAAGTAAGTAGTGTCAGTGGATATTATTTTGTAGAAACTCTATGCTATTCTATGTTTATACATTTGTCTCTTCTCTTTAAATTTAAATGAGACCAATTAAAATTTAAACAATAATGAGCTACGTAAATACATATTTATTAATCCCTACTGGAGGTAATTATTCATTATTATTCGTTTAATTTATATAAATTAATTCTAAGATATGTTTATACTAAATTTATTAAGTACGAAAACGTAAGAAAAGAAAATAATATAATTTTGTATAGTTTTATTTTTTTTAGTCATTATTTGTAAAATGAAATTTATTGTAAAACAATTGTTTTAAACTATTAATTTGACGAATTATTTAAAAAAAAAAACATTTTATTTTTATCATTTACTTTAACAGGTTAATAGTTAATACTTTCGTATAAACTGTAGTTAATGTTATTTAGTATCGGCCTTAAAATTAAATTTTTGTGTTTTTATACCATCATATTTTTATCTAGTTATCATCATGACTTCCTATTCAGTTCAAATTTAGTCACAAACAATATAATTGGATTAAAATAAATATTTTAAAAGTAGGCTATATACTAATCTACTATTCACAATGAACTACTATTAAGATATTATTCGTATTATTTTACTGTCTCCATTTATCATATGAGCAAATTACCAAAGTAGCTAAATCAATTTACATAGAACCATAATCGTCACGTTGCGATGTTAAGGTTGCATTATATAATTATTGTATAAACTCCTATAACCAAATTTAAAGATAAAATAATTTCTAGTAATTCTTATAGTCAAATGTTCATTATTATATTTTATAATTAATTTCAAAGTTATTAAGAAAAACTACGTGAGGCCTACATTTGTATTATTATACTCTTATATTAATTTACGAGTATTAACCATTTGCTAATTATTATTGTATTTTTTATTCTTCTTCTTCTTCATACGGCCCTAATACTCTTTAAGAGTTTTCACCGCCATTTATTATTTATTATTATTATATTATTATTTATTATTTAGTATTTTTTATTAGCTTATTATATATTTTTATTGTTCATAAAATTTGGTCTTAGAAGTCAATACCCACTCTAATTTGAACCTTCACAAATAATGTACCAATGTACAACCTAGTATGATTTTACTATATATTACCCATTACTTAAACGGAAACAGTAAATGTGGTTTATACCGTGGGTATGTGTGTATACTGTTCTCAAATTAATTTTAGAGGGGCCTTGTTAGACAATAGAGATATATACCTAACATATTTGTGTCAAAGCATTGTAACTCAAATTTTTATTAAGTTTAAAATAGCTTTTATTTTGTATTATATAAATCTTAATGATGTGTTAAATATTTTGAAGTACTTTCAAAAGTTATTTTATATTATATTTATATATATGTATGTTACGTGTTATATTACCATACCGTTTAAATATTACAACTTATTTTTTATAATGTTTCAATAATGGTTCATAATAAATAGTTTTTATTTCATCAGATGTAACTAATTTAATGTGTCAAAATAATCTACCGGTAAAAAAGTTTTTCTATAATTGAGCTTATAAATATTTGTATGGTTTGATTTAGAAATAGGTTTCCCCGCTTTAAATTCTATTTATTTTTTATATTTTAACTAAATTTTTATGAATCGTAGACTAACCCAACGGTTACTGTGATTTTATAGTTGTTCATTATTAATTTAACTGTACATAATAATTAAATTAATAATTCATATCGAATTTAAAATGAAAAAAGTATTAGGATAAATATTATTATCATCACATTTCACAAAATTTTAAAATTTATTGAAACAGGTGAACTAGTCCACTATGTAATTTACTGATGCACTGGCACTAATATCCATATGATATATAGGTACCTACTTAATACATGATATAGTACCAAGATATAATACATCTTAGCCCATAATGTGTACCTACTAACATACTGATAATAATAAATTTACGACATCATTATGATAAGATTAATTTAATTATCTTAAGTTATTATTATAATATTAAGTAAGTAAAGGATTTCATATTTGCTAGTAGAAACTCGTATTTGAAAATCACTTCAAAGGTTTTACATAGATTTTTTACCCGTTGTTTTGTTGCATTCGATAACACTACATTTTTAATTTAAATGCAATTTGAAACACTATTTATTTGTTATTTAAATTTAATAGTATGGTTAAGTCTATATTAATATAGATTTATTTTCTATATTAATAATAATGTAATATTAGTTATAAATTCTTAAAACTTGATCTGAGGTTTCGGCCTAGTTCATGTACCTATTATCGACGTATTCAATTTAAACATTTTGAAATGAATAAGTTGACTCATAATACCTATAGAAACTTTTATTTTTCATTAAATACTTTGTAAATATGATTAGTTTAATTTATATTTCTATGTTAAGAGAGGGAAGACGTTTCGTTTCTTTTTAAGATACTACAGATGTAAAAAAATTTCTTAGTTGGTAATTATGGATGGAATATTTTTAAATTATAATTTGAATAAACTTTTATATCCATACTACAAATGTAAATAGAGTATATATTTTCATATGAAGTAGGTATTTAATATTTATTTAAGGATTTATAATTATAACACGTATAATATTATCATTGATAATCAATGATATTGCATTAGTTAAAAGTTAAACAGTTATCTTTCACTTAATTTCTTAAACTATCATAGCAAATAATATTATGTTATTATACATCAACCATACATTGATTTTGTATAATAAAAACTTAGTATTGGTTTATATGATATTTTTTTAGTACAATATATATATATATTTTAATAACTATGAATTATATAAATTTGCTTTAATTTTATTTATTTGGTAAATTATTTCTGTGCTGTTGTCGCTGTTGGAATTAAACGTAATAAAAGAAATATGTATACATTTTAACTATAGTTTTCATGAGTATCAAAAATATTATTTTCTAATACATACTATAATCCGATAGTCGATTAATTGATGCCATCATATGATATCAGTTTTTCTTTCATTGATGTTAATAACCAACATTATTATTTATTTATATACCATAATCACGTACACTGGCTTTAGTGGGGCAGATAACAGTGAATATCAAATAATAAAAACAAGTAATGACGGTTATTGGTCCAACGATCATATTGCATTTCGTTCGTTGCACCTTATTACTACGTTATATTACAATTCTTAAAACCGTTTGATTTACTTACATTTTTTCGTTTCGTTTTGTTTCGCATCGTTTTTACTTAAGTTATAAACTTCTATCGAATGAACATGAATAGAATTAGACAATGGTTTGATGAGGATGAATATTTATTTACTAAATCAATGCACGCTTATATAGAAAGTCGTATAATTTGGGATTTAAAAAGATTACCAAAGTCTGTGTTTCGAGTTAAAAAGAAACGTTTTGAAAATGTACCATATCGTTCTAGCGTCAGTGTGGTATTTAAGACTTAGTTTAATCCTTGCTGATTTTAAAATAATTATTTAAAAATATTTTATTAGGCTCCAGAAAATGAACTTCGTAAAGTAAATGTCAATGGCGGAGAAAGAATACTCTCAGAACACGAGTTACGAATTCAACGTTCTCTACAAAGACTCAATCTTCCCGAATGGTATAAGTCCTGCAATGTGCCTGCTCAAGGATTTCTGTTAAAAAGACATAGCGATGCAGGTTATACTACCAGTATGTCTAGCTTATCGTCTAACCAATCACAGTCACCAAAAATGTATTCTAATTACAGTGAGTATTATTGAACATTATATTTTTTTCTTTTATAGTAAAATTAAAAATATTGTTCTAGACAATACATTGCTTAGTCCCCAAACACATGCTGCTACCAAAAATTTTTCACGTTGGAGTACCAGTCGTTTAAATGGTTCAAATTCGAATAGTACATCGCCTTGTAGTTCTACGCGATCATCATTTAACTATAGGCAACCATATTTGGGTTGGAGATCTCAGGAAAAATTATCAAAGCCTAGAACACCAGCTGAACGACTTGCTGCTGGATTACTTGCTCAACAACAACATGAACCGGTATTATCTATAGTAATTAATTTGTTTTTCATTTTATATAATGAATGGACATTTCTGTTTTAAAGACATGTCAAACCAGCTTATCTGAAGTACAGTCATCAATTAAAGAAGTAACTTCAGCCATAGCCAACTATGTTTCGTCATCAACACCAGATGGCAGTAAAGAAAGGCTTAACGCTGATTATCAAGATACTCCATCAAGGTAAAAATTAATTAAATTGCTTTCATAAAAATAATGAATCAAATACATTTCAAAAATTTGATTAATTTAGGTGTCCATCTTTCAGAGGTAGTACAGGTCGTTTATGTTGGCTGGAAAGTTCATTTGTAGGTAATAAACGTCCAAGTTTAACCAGAGATACACCACAACCAGAAACAAGTACACCACCATCTCATAGAAAAGCCACACCTATTAGACAAACTCAAAATACTGGCAGTTGGGTCAATGGTGAGTGTGAATATACGTAGACATGGCTTGCTGCCTCATACAAAAAATTGGACACTGTCTGCTGGGTAGAAACTGAAAAATGCTAATCGAAAATATATTTTATGATATAGCACTTGACAGCTTTTGTTGGACTACCTTTAGATTTTATTTTTTTTTTTTTTTGTAATTTGATTTCGTTTTTGAGTAAGCGAATTAGTTGTTAAATATTGTTTCAATTTTTTTTTATGTATGTCGCACCTAAAGTAAAATTAAAACATTGTAGATTCAATTTTTTTTTTTTTTGTATAAGTTAAAACAGCATGACAAGAACTATGAATACCTTTTGTATGTTAAAATTTTTAGTAGTTATTATTCAACGTCGATGCTATTATAAAAAAAAAACATAGTTTAAAAAAAACAGTGGGACATTTCCAAAAATTTATGTGTAAAATGTCTTCATATAAGAAACTATTTATAAATCAATTTGATTTATAATGAATTTATGACGTTCTTAATAAAAGGAACAAGTAAAGTATATATTTCTAACAATCTTATGCATTTTAAACCAAAACTGGCAAATGTGGACAAGTCTTTTTATTAATTAAATTTAAAGATACTTGTTTTTAGTATAAATATCAAGTTTAAGTGTTAATCAATAACAAAGGCATTATTTTGTTTTTGTTTCATTGAATTATAACTGTGATTAATGTACAGGAATATGAGTGTGATATCCTGTATAAAATAATTTTATTTAAATTTTAATGAAGTCTTATACTCCAAAATTTGTTTTCAAGTTTCTGTATTTAAAATTACATATTTCACTATATTTTCATAAAGTTCTTTACTACAATTTTTTTTCTTTTTTTAAGTCACAATATGTTTAAATAGTTTATATATTGGATTTATTTTTAGTACTTGATGTACAATATACTGTTAAGAATTGTTTAAAAATGTATTCGAACATTTTATATTACTATTAAATAATTCCATGAATTGTTTTAAAAGAAAATATTAATTTTTTTATTTGATAATAGAAAATAAAAGTTTGATACTTTTATAAAGTGAACCTATCTCATAAATTCCCTCGGTGCTGCAAACTATCATAATTTCAGTTGCAAATTTAAATTTTCATTGTTTGCTTTTAAGACTCGTATATTATTATTTTATATACAAAAATTAAAAATATTTATGTATGTTTGCTTTATAATGTTAACTAGTGAAATGTATTGTGTTATAATTATGTACATATATGGTTTAATAATAAGATAATTTTAGTTAATTATAGTGTTTTCCAAGTGTCAAACATAATGAATATTAGTAAGTATAGTAAGTACACAACATAATTTTAACTCAGTGAACTGAATACTTGTAATTTTTAGTTTTCATAATTTCATCGTAATTTTTTTTTTTTTTTTAAATTCATTTATTTGGTATATCCCATGCCTGTTTTTTTTTTTTATAAATTAATTTTACTACACATTTACTAAAACAGTTAATATGTATATTGCATGTAATTCCAATATTTGGTTAACATGTTTTGCAATACTTTGTACATATTATTAACGGTATTATAAATTAATTTTTTTAAGTAATCCTACTTCAATCTTTTACATTATTAATTATTTTTTTACACTAGAATGCTTTTGTTCATACATGTACCAAACTTTGACACTAGAATAAGAATTTTGGTCGTTAATAAATATTAATAATTAATTAATAATAATAATAATAATAATAATTAATAATTTACGAAATATTTACCTTGCCATCTAAACTTTAAAGTAATTTATTCACAAAATATTTTGTTCGCTGAATATATGTTTCTATGTTTTGTAACTAAGTAAGTACATTGTAAAACTCGCAAACATCAAACGATTATGTTTTAGAATCTATGAAATCGCAAATGATTTTGTTATATGTATCTTATAGGTGTATTTATATAGTACATATATTTATTTACTAATGTTTAAACAAGTAAATCGAACTGTAAATCGCATATAATTTCTTGAAAATACAAACCAAGACAATAATGAATAATGTAATTTAGTTACAATATTAAATTTGTAAAGAAATAAATTGCTTACGCAAAGCTGAATGAATTAAAAACAATTTTTTTTTTTTTTCATTATTTCATTTTATTATTTATATGATTGCTCCTAAACTGATTACAATAATAACGAACGGTTGTTAATATTATTATGCATATGCTATTGTCGTCTCCCATCTAGTGCCATTTCGTGCATGTGTTTTCTCAACGTGATTACTATCATTTCACTGCGCCGTATTTATCTACATCATGTTATATTTTTATTTTCAACCCGCTGTAAAACATTGAGCTTTATACATCGTTCTTGTTCGTTGAAATCAATGCTGATTATTTATACCTATAACATGACCAAAGTTTATTTCATTTATTTTTATTTTCTTGTGCAATTGTTGAGAATTCACTGTTTGGCACGAATACTTACAGATCGGCCGAGTCCCGGTTCGACGACCATGGACGACGTCTTAAACTCGTTGTTAGGGTTGCAACAAGGGGCGGCGACCGTTAATAACTTCGCTAGGTACCACTATCACAATCATCGCAGTAGTGGCGGTGGCGGTGACAGCGGCAGCGGAGGTGACCTCAGACGGAGGCCTTACGCTGCTTCAGCTGGTACGGCCGGTAACGCGTAAGTGATGAAATGCGTTTTGAAAAAAAAAATAAATAAATAAAATGCATCGACCTGCAGTAGAATGATTTATTATTTCCCGACGGTAGTCGCTGTATTTATAGTATTACAGTACGTGTGCGTTCTAGGCGTTTTTTTTTTTTCTATCGTACGGATTCGCATTACACTTCTATAGTTCAATAGACCTATTAGTACTTGTCACGTGCATTATTACGTTCAATACCTTAGTAGACGCATTTTCGTAGTCGATAGTGTTGTGTGTGTGCTCGTGTCTATTTTCGTTTTACGTTTAGCGAACCCATCGAAATAATATCTACTAACCCGGTACGCGCCCGTCGTGCGGTATACTAATGGTTGGTGTTTGCGTGCGCCGCACAGTTTCAGGTAACAATAACAACAACGCCGCTGCGACGACGCCGCCGACCAGCGGTGGCGGCTGTGCGTCCGGCTCGATCCGGTGCCGGTACTCGGAGTGCCAGCGATCGGCGACCGTGCCCGAGGCGCGGCGCACGTTCAAGATGTGCCACAACTGCAATCACGTGTACTGCTCGAAGCGATGCCGGCGCGCGCACTGGCAACACCATCGGAAGACGTGCCTGGACCGGCGCACGGCCACGCTGTGCCCGTCCATCGTGGACGCGGTCAAGGCGAACAGCCGGTGCGCGGAGCGGCTGTCGACGATCGCGCGCCGCGGTTACCTGACGCACGGCCGCGGCGCGGTCAAGTGCTACTTCTCCGGCATCGAGCTAGCCGACCGGTTCGTGCGTGGCGGCGCCGGCGACGACGCGGACACGCGGTACGTGCTGTACGTGTCAGTGTGCGTGCAGAGCGAGGTGCCGGGCCCGGGGCCGGTGCAGTGGGAGCGGCACGTTGTGTACAAGTGCGCCAAGATGCACCTGGACAAGAGCCTGCGCGCGGACGACGCTTGCAACATCCGTCGCGATTCCGCCGCCGACTCGACGCAATGCTGCGCGACCCCGGACACGTTGGTGCTGACCGCGTTGCCAGGGTACGACCGGCGGCGGGACGTGCGCACCGCGCGGCAGGTGTGCTTCGTCAACGTGCAGCGACACCTGCGCCAGAGGGGTGTCGAGCTACGGCTCCAGTTCCCAGACGTGTACCGCAACCTGTGCGAGTACGTGGACGGCGGCGTGGACGTCACGTTCACTCCGGTCACGGTGTACCCTCGCGACAAAGCGTCCGGCAAGACGTTCATGTGCATCATCATGCCGGACGCGGACCCGGTCAAGTCGAACGTGCTGCCCACCGACCGCGGTGCCAACGTGCAGACCATCGACGTTGGCCCGCAGGAGTAGTCGTGGGGGTGGATGCGCCTGACGAGCCGTCGTCCCCCGTGCGTGGTACACCGCGGGGTGGACACACGATTCCGTACGTTTTGTACCCAAGGTCTTAGCGCCTTCCATAAGGGAGTGGTTACGTAGGTGTGTAACAAGAGTCCAAATATTGGGGGTGCTGAAATCGCTGAAAATAAAATTGAACGGTATTTCACTGTAATTACTATAGATTATATACATCTGAAAAAAAACAAGACTGCTACATTTTAACTCAGGGGTTCTAAAGACCCTATTGCGCCCCCTCTTCTAAATGCGCCTATATGTATTGTACAACGTACAATAACAAGATCAGCCTCCGTCATGCCTTTATAATTTTATTTTCGTTTTATAGAAGTTTTCAGTTGATCGGTAAACAATTACGATTTTATACGATTCAAACGAGTACTATTCGATTCTGTTGACTCGTTTTTAATTTTTTTAATTTCGTCAACTATGACAACGTTTCCCGGAAAATCGTACGTAATCGAAGTTTCTTTTTTGGGTGTTATTTTGACAATCTGTTGACTGATCGAAATCAAACGGAACCGTGCTTTATCAGGGGTGTACGACCCTCGTAACGAAGGCGGCCGATGCGATTGAACATCGACACTTTTTAAAACGTATTCGCGGCACAAATGTAATGCGCCCGTTTTTTTCGCCGGCCTAACTTGATCGATTACCGCATACATAAATGTACACCGATCAATTGGTCGTGTTCGGAAGAAAATTTAATAAAAAGCAAAACGCGTCCGGGGCAACACGTCACGGATTCGTGTGGTCGCGTTCGGATGTTACGCCGCTATGTTCATCGTATTTTAACGCATAGGTTTAATCATATTACCGTTGTATACGGGACTATTTACTATAATTACATGTCCGTTGTTTTTATTATTATTATTATTATTATTATAATAATCTTTATTACATTTATTTACTGAACGTACACTCGAGTGTATTCATTATCGTAACAATGCGTTGGCATCGGAGATTCATTTATAACTCGACCCATTCCATTTTTATACGTGTACGTACGTATGTATGCAAGAAAAGAAAAATAAAAATTTATGATTTAGGACGCGCACATGGTGGTCGGACGACGGACACTACAAGGTTGTGAATGGTGACAACTGCAGTGAAACAGGATCTTGCAGGAATTTGAGATTTATAGTTCCGTTACACGTGGTACAGATTAATAACGAAATCCATTTTTACACGCATTTATACATTATTGCTTTTCTTTCAAAGGATCATTATTTAAAAAGGGTTTCCTACCCCCTTCTCCGGGCGCTAAATGTATACATACTCCATGTCCACCTCGGACACCCGTGACTTTTAATAAACGGTCGTGTAGGCGTTCAATGTTTGATTGTTATACAATTATTCTACGATCATTATGATTAAGACGATCTCAATAACGATCCATTTGTATTGTGGGTGTAATATGTACGTTTAGGTTCCGGAACGCTGTTCGGTGCTTACAACAGGCGCGAAAAATCGTCTACACGTCAATATTCGAGCTCACTTGTACGTTTTTACGTGCACAATGTAATATTGATTTGTTAACCGCGCATTTTGAACGCATGTCAATAATTATAGCGTTAGGTTAGGTATTCATTATGATTAGATAGATAAAATATATTACGTCCGGGGCCGTGTTTAGAACACTGGGCTTTTACGATTGGCGTACTCGAACAAGTTTTATTCTTTAATTGTCGTTACCCTATTTAGTCTGTTGTAACATTATAATCAAATGCGATAACGACAAACAAAACGTATTGAATTAGGTTTTTACAAAATTATATTCGATATATGTATTGTATTGTACGACGCTCGATTTAAAATGTATTTTGTATGGATTATTTTTATGATCGGGTTTAATTTGTTATTTTTATTTTTTATTTAACTATACCATTTTTCTATGTTTTATTACTTACATATTTATATCGTTACAATTTGTTGTTATTTATTTTTTTTTATTTTTCGAAAGCCAACAAAATATGTGAAATTGATAGTGGCCCTTCGCCCCAGTCCCCTATGTAGTGCCTCACGTATACAATAATCGTGGCCTCTACATCTTTGAATTTTCGAATTTAAATTACTCATCATTCAATGTAACATCTAGAAGCTATATATTTGTTTAAACATTTTAATATTTACAAATATTTTTAAATCATTGTTATTTATTGTTACCATTAAAATTTGATAAATTTAAAGTTAATCATTTAGAAAATTGGCTTTTATAATATTAGGCCATTTAATGTGGTCTAACCAAACCTAAAATGATATTAGTGTAAGCTTCGAATATGTCTGGAACATAAATGGAAGTAATAATCATTGCATTATTGATAGACAATATTATATTTTCACAGCTGAACAAACATATGTAATTATTGCAATACAGGTAGGTATGTAATAATATCATTGGCAAAACTCGATATATTTCATTGAGTTAAACGCAGGGGCGTATTTTGGGGGGGGGGGCGAAGAGATGATCGCCCCTTCTGAATCCGTATTTAAGGAATCGATCATATGTGAGATACATATTTCAAATTTTTTTAATGTGGATAATTTTATAACAATACTTAGTGTTCTTTTAATCAAATAAAACCTTAGCGTAACTTTTAAAACACAGACGTGTTAAAAAGGAACTATACAAAAGTCGTTTATAAGTGGATCCGGCATTAGATTAAAAAGAAAAACCACAAATATTAAGGATTCTACTTGTAAATGTTGAGCTTGAATTAAAGAAAAAATTTAAGTCGACCCCCCCCCCCCCCCTTAAGAAGTCAGTCTAAATACGCCTCTGGTTAAACGTGTACAGTATGTTTGGACATTCTCACAGATACAAGATGAAATATACTAATTACACAATGATCAAAAACCGCTGAATGAATGCTCAGAGATGTGCCAGAAGTATTATGAACCATGGACTAAAGTATTAAAATGATTTCACACAGGGTTGTTAATATCTAATTCTAAACATTCTCTTTCAGATGATAGTCAAAAGCTAAGTTGCATATTGGGTACCTAAGTTAAAAATATTTGTTAATTAATGATCAATGATTCATTTTCGCAACAAAAAGATTGATGTACTACAAAAATGGTAAAAATAAATTTATGAAGTAGTTATATTTTCATAGCAAAAATTTCACACTAATTGAAACTTCAAGTATTTTTATAAAAACAAACTTAAGACAATTAATTAAAATTAATTTAATTTGGCAAAAGAGTTATAAAATATAATCTGAATATTCAATTACCTACTTAACCATATAAATATATAAACTTCTATAGTTTTATAGGAAATTGAAATAATTTAATTTTGAAAAATTAGTTTATTACTGATATAATTCATTACAGCTACAGTAATACATGAAGTATTAATACAGTAAGGAGAAACAATAAGTTCCCACCTTATACAACTTTAATTAATGCTTACAAAAGTATATAAAGATACTTCAGAAATGCCTTGTACAGTATACAATGTAATATTTATTAACACTAAAATATAAAACTAAATGGCACAAATAAATATGTTTACAAATTGTTTTACTATATTAAATACAACTTACCATAACAATTTATTTTTGATACAAAACATTATTATTAATATGTAGTATTAAATAAGTAATAATTATTCTTAAGTTTGGATTTAATTGATTACTACACACTACTTATAGACCAACACTATGGAACGAATAGGGGAACAATTATTTTAAATGTTATGAAAATACCAAACAAATTTTATAGCAAATAAATTTATTTACAAAATATTCTAATAAATTCAAATTTTTTTTAAAGTCAAAATATAGTATTATTAATTACAATTAAGAATTGATTATTATCAGTCCACATAATCTTAAATTTAAATAAAACTTACTATAACTAAATAATGAAATTATAAGTCTATTAATATTAAATTTTTTATTAAATTAACATTAGTATGTTTTTGAGTCTGTTGAATATCAACTTCAATTTATTATTATGAAAAAATAAATACAATTTCTTTTATACTGATTTTTATAATAATTTAGAAATTATTTAAAAAAATTATATCATTCAAAAAAAAAGCAAACTAAGATTGAAATTTATCACTCTAATTTTGACACTTTTTTCTAAATAATTCTTAAAATTAATAAAACTGTACATTTGTATTGTTGTGAAAAGTGTATAATTTTGAGCAAAAAAAAACCAAACACATAGATAAAACATTTACTATTACTGTAGATCTTTTTACATTTTTTAAAATTACAATAAGACAATAGACAGGAGAATATAACCATCCCTTTTGTACACATTATGCAATGAAGAATTATTTTTATCTTTTAATTAACCTTTAAGTATCACTTTTCCAAAGTTTTATAGTTTTATCATTTTCTAATGCTGCTGATGCAATTATATTTGCTGTAGGATGACATGACGTACACAAGACTACATCTGAAAAAGTAATTTATAAAAATGTTAAGAAAACCGTATGAGTTTTAAACAAAGTGTAATTACCGGTATGCCCTTGTAATTTTTGTACTATTTCTTTCGACTGTAAATTCCAAATATAAACCATATTGTCTTCTGATCCAGAAACTATCCACTACAATAATAATAATGAAGGTAAGAACATGAAATGTAAGCATAATAATTAACATGTAACACTTGCCTTTCCACCTGTTACAGAAAAATTTGCAAATATACAATATTTCTCATTTTTGTGTCCTACATATGTTTTTAGACATTTTCCTTTTGTGTAATCCCATAATTTTAGAGTATTATCTAGTGTTGCAGCCAATATGTATTTACCATTTGGTGAAAATTTCACAAATGAAACTGGTGGATTGTCATCATCAATTAGTGTTTTCAAACATTGACCACTGGCAGTATCCCAAATACGACTAAAATTTTAAATAAATACAAAATTAATTAGTAAAATATGATTTGAAATATAATAAGTACATACAACAATTTTAAATTATTTTATATTACCATAAACCATCATAACTACTAGATACTACAAGTGATCCATCTCTATTAAAATGAACAGCACTGACTGGATCTGAATGTGCAGGTAGTGTTTTCAAACATTTTCCACTTTTAACTTCCCAAATACGCACACTTTCATCAAACTAAACAATTAATGAACATGTTATAAAATAATATACTATAATTCAAAATATTTCAAAACTTACAGATCCAGAAGCTATTAAATTTGATTGAGGGTTAAAATTACAGCAAAAAACATAGTTACTGTGACCTTTAAGAGTCTTGACGCATTTTGACTAAAAATCAAACCGTAATTATAGTTTAATGAGAGGAGTAAAGGTTAAACATTTGTACAAATTTATATAAACAATTTATTATAAAATATCTGATATAGTTAATTTACAACATTTGTTTACTACAGTTACTGTACGTAATTTTAAAATTATAAATTTATTACATTATTAATACTTTCTTACCGAGCTTAATTCCCAAACTTTTAATGTTTTATCATCAGAAGCAGATACTAGAAGACGGCTATCAGATGACCAGCTAACATCACTGATTCCTAATTTGTGTCCAGCAATAGACTTTTCAAATTTGCCATCATAAGCGCCCCAAATTTTAATTAACTTATCAGCAGCTAAAACAAAAGAAATTCAAAGAATTAATAAATTTAGTTAAAACAAATACACATAAGAGTTTAGAAACATATTTTATTTATAATAATGTGTGATTTTAAGGTTTTAAATAAAAAAATGTATGTAAATAATATTAATTTATAATAATGAATGTAACATGTAATAACATGTATATATTAATGCACGTATAAGAACCCTGTCCATAAATTTACTTACATGAACTGGCAAGCCATTCACCGTTGGGACTAAATTTAACGGAAGACACAGCTTTTGTATGACCAGCCAAAGTAAATTTCAATGAGTAATTTGGTTTCTGGAATGAACAGTAATAATAATGAAAGTATAAATATTTATTTGGACAAATTAAACTAAAATTTAAAAACATACCACATTGCTGGACGATTTTTCTCGGTCTCTGGCTGGTTGCATACTTTGACCGAGTGGTGGACCGCCAATTTGCGAACTTGGGCCCATAGGTACCATGATGATATGAGCTTAGAAGAGTAGATGATTTAAAAGAAAAAATTCAATGCTGTGATGAAAAACGTAAATAAGAAAGGTACACTACCATAACAGACGCTGTGCCGCTTTGGTCGTGGCCCATGAGACAGTGGATCATTATCATAAACAACAATACAACAACCAATACAATTGATAAAAAACATTATATGTTGGTCACACTGCCAAATATGGCGGGAAATCTATCGTTTTTACAAATCACAGTAGATAATGTTTTCTAGGATCGTTTGTACAATTCACACAATACTGCTATAAGCAGTGGCGTATTTAGGAATTTCAGGATAGGGGCAACACATATTTCCCCCTCCACTAAAAAAAATGTTGTTACTAATTATTATTATTTATTAAAATCTCTATTGATTTCTAGATATACAATATAAATACAAAATTCAAATATTTTTCTTCCTTGATTCAGAACCACCAAAATCATTAATTATTTATACAAAATCCAATGAAGTGGTTATTTCAGCTGCAGTTATTAATACCGGTAAAGCCGAGCAGCGGTCTTGAGCCATTGTAGACAGTCAGTAGCTTTTATTATTTTTAATGTTGAAAAAGAATGCTCTGCAGTACAATTTGTAGAATGTGTACACAACAAAATACGTAAAGCTACTTCAACATAGGGATGAACACTAGTAAAATTATGTTCTCTTATGAACCGTAATATCTGTATTGTTATAAACTTAACTTTAATGTTTTTTATATAGCCTTGAAATTGTACACACTCATTTACAGAACATGTTGCCAAATCATTTGGGTAAGTTGTGTCGGTGTGTAAAGTATGAAATAAAAATTACCAGCCCCCTAAATCTTTAAAAATTTGCCGCTCCGGACTACGAGACCCATAGTCCCTATCTAAATACGCCCCCGGCCATAAGTGATGGCCCAAATCTCTTGAGATTAAGTTGCAATGATCAAAAAAATAATAATCTAATCCAATATGTTATTATACAAATAAAAATATTTTAAGCTATTATTTATTAAAAATATTATTCACATAATTTACGTTAAAAGTGTGTTTATGTAACTCGCTGCTCTTAACTCACTACATTGTAATAACTAACAATTATTATAACCATTCCAATAATCGATTCCAACAATACCAAATTATAGTAATTACCAACCGTAAATCTGAAAGTTAATTACCCGTTTTAGGTAAAATTTAATTTTTTTTTTCTATTTGGTTTAAAAAGAATTATAAAGATTTTTTCTTCTTAGGAGATAACAGTTATAACCATATGATTTATTCTCTAATGTTTTATAATCACGAGTAAATAATTTATTGTTGGTACATTCAGTGTTGGCCTGGTATTTCAAGATCCAGATGCATTTTTCAAGATGTGCCGCCAAAAATGTCATCTCATAAAATGATAAAGAAAGTACCTATTCATAAATAGTGCAAAATATTACAATGTTTTAATGGTGCCTTATTTAAAATACACAAACAATTCCATAAAATGATGTAAGTAATACCTTATGATATAGAACTTATCGTTGAGCTATTATAGTTTTATACTAGTAGTTACTAACTTCAAGTTAGTAATAAAAATAAAAAAATATACAACTTAATATTTTTTAATGATATCCAAATTGCACTGTTGATTTTTTTTAAAATAGTAATTTTTTCAGTTCTCTAAAGGCCGTCAGTAATTATAACTATAAATTATAATCAACTATAATGGTAACAATGATAATTTATAAAATTTAGAAATGGAAGACTAGCAGTACAAATTCGGCTGACACTGTTTACATTATTCTCATACAATCATGCAGTCATAATTGTAGGTGATAGAGTGATAAAGAGGACTTTAACAATGAAATGCTCATTGAATTAAATTCAGTAGTTAAAAACAGGGACTGGAATCTATAGGTTTTTTCGGTTCCAGTTTCGGTTTTGGTTGGTCAATTAATTTTTTAAGGGTTCTGGTTTAGATTTCGGTTTTTTAAAAGAGTAAGTGTTCTAGAGCCGGTTAATTTCGGTTAATTCTGATTATTATAAGAGGTTTATTAAAAAATAATATGAAATTATTTATTTATTCCTATTTAAATTGTAATTGTTTCATTTCATGAAAATAGAAGGTATTATGAATAGTTAAATAAAATAATTATAAATATATTAAATATATATGTATTATATCAGCCTATTATATTTCTTTGAGTCAGGTTATTTTATTCCAACTCGTAGTAATAATTTGTAAAATATATTGTAATATTGTGAAATATTATGATTTGATGAAATAAACATCTTTAATTTAAAATTTAATTTTAATTAGGAATCAAAGTTAATACTTGCTACTGTTGTAGCTACACATTTTTTATAAACATTAATTATATATAATACTTAATAGACAAGATAGATGATATACTTATTGTAAATTGTAATATATTAATAAACATACAAAAATAATAATAATAATACAAATTTACTTATTATATGCATTACATTATTACAGTTTACAACACAAAATAATAAAAAGATTTGACTTTTATTTTTCTGAACCGACAAATGGACAACAAAATAGTCATTACCATAGTTTTACTATTCTAAATAACTGACCTAAATTAACCCTTTTATAATTAAGGTTATGGTTACGGTTTTTCATTTTTGGAAATAAAGGTTTCGGTTTCAGTTACGATTCTTAAATTTTAAAGGTTAACCAGTTCCAGTAGTGGTTCTTTTCGGTTACGGTTCTAGTCCCTGGTTAAAAATGCGTTTTGTTTAATTTTTATTTTCCTGTTTAGTCGCTTAAATTCGTTGGTTCATTCTTAATGTTTATGTAATGATGTTGAGTAATGTTTTGTGAAAATGGTTTTAATGATTCTTAAATTTGACACTCATTAAGTTTTCCTTACCGAAACGCAAGACAGTGGTTGGTAATTATTTTAAATTGTAGCGTGCTAATAGTATCCCATTAAAAAATAAATTATGGAGGAACTTAGTTTGCTCAAAATGCTGAACAATTTATTAATAAGATATGAGATTACTAGATATACGTTATCACCATTTTTTTTTGTGGGGTTTTATTATTATTTAATTACGTTATGTAATTAAAATTTAAAATTTTTAATATTTCTTAAGTATGAGCCTAATTTTTTATGTACCTACATTTGTCACGGAACACACACACACAATTAAATATAATAAACACTATTTAGAAAAAACAAAAATATAATACACATATTATATATATATTTATTATTATATATATTATTATTATATATTATTATATATTTGTATATATACATATACAAATAAAAAAAAATAGAATTACTAATTAAAAATTAATGTATCAATTTTATTAAATTAAAAGAGTGATTTGAATAATAATAATTATTATTATTATTGTTAACAATAATGTCCTATTATTAATAATTATAATAATAAACATAAGAAATGGTGCAAAAACAATAAAAAGAAAATCAAAATTTCAGAAGACAAGAATTATAAAAAAAAACGTTAATAACAAAATATGAAATAACAATAAAGTAAAGGCCAAGAAGACGACTAAAAGCAGACAAGCGCCCCCGTCGTTCGCGACGGTCGTCACCGTTCGCGAACACTTCGGGGCTCATCATCGACTCCGAAAACTGGTTCGATTAATCTATTGGGCGTCCCGATTGATAATCGAACGAGTGGTGACACCAAAAGCAAAGGGGTGTAACGGTTGAGATAACGGTATTCGTGCGACACGACCGTGTCACATTATATACGAGTATTAGATATATACAGTATTATAGCCAGGATTCCGGAAGTTTTCCAGTGGGCCTCTTGTTGAATGAGGCCGCTTGTACTCGTTGGGAAGTTTTTTTTGAGTTTATCGGTTTAGGGTCATTAATGACCACACAATTGTGTTGACAGACATAGACGCATTTTCTAATGCGATTTCATTAGAAACTGTCTAAAATTAAATAAATGGTATTTTAATTTATAATAATAATATTAAGTTTTCAAATGCTAAAAATAATATACAATCATTTTATATGAAAATATACGTTTTTTTTATTGTTGTTTTTATACCTATGGTCTATCTATGTGGGCCTTTTTTTATTTTCTTGATAGAAATTATTGACCCTATCTGGCCCTGCTTAAATATATTATTATACTATTATTAATTAGTAGCTAATCATATTCAGTAGGTACCTTATATTATTATTTTATTATTCATTCAATATTAATTATGCAACGCCGATACTATTTTATACCCGAAAAATTGTACCTACTATAAGCTGAGAGTTTTATTTATTGTTTTTTAATTGCAAAATATTTAGAAATTAATTACTACACATTTAACGGAGTATTTGCATAGTATCATATAAAGTCGATGAATTCCAAAAGTGGACCATTATTTAATTATCTGTTCTTTAAAAATTTATTTTGAATAACAAACAATAATTATTATCAGGTTTTGTAATTTTATATTCATACTATTTTATGGACAACAATATTAGGTAGGTATTCTCATTGCGGTTGACCGATCAAATTGCGTTTTACAGACTGGTATGGTAAACATAAAGCCATTTCGAAAAAATCCGGTAAAACACGTATTCTACAAAATTATAGAGTTATTGTAGGGTGTGTACCGTTGAACTGACCTTTTTTTTATGGGTTTTCTCTTTATAAGCTAGCAGACGTACAGCAATCTTGTATGCGTGTTGTCACGGTAACACCCATAAAGTCGCATTTAGTGGTCAAAGCGCCGTCTAGCGGCCGTCCCTGAGTATCACGGGGCTTTGCATTAGAGTCCAATCGGTGGTCTGGCCGGGATGAATATGGGTCAAACGCATGTTTTACAATAAGTTCTGAGTGAAAAACGAACAAGTTACTTGCATAATTACGTAATGCATTAATACATTCATCTATTTTTCTTTTCCCTATTACTGAGTACATCAAAGTGTAATTTGTGAGACAATAGTACATAATATCTGTCATTATTCATCTTTTTACACGTATTACTATAAAGTGAATGTCCGGCACGCGACCGAAAATTATTAAAGGTAGTACCAAAACCAATATATTATCGTAGTATTCTAAGAATAACAATATATTTTTGATTTTTTCCGGAGATCTGACCGATATCTTAATTAGTGACTAATTGGTAACTAATAATTATTAGTTATTTATTATAATATTTTATTCTTTTTCATTTAAATTAAATTTTAATTGAGTTTACTTTTATGAAGTTGAAATTATAAATCCTAGTATACTTACATTTTATGGTAGTTGTTAACTATGAATTAAAGATTTGCGAAATTCACACATAATTTATAATCGTTAAATTTTAATAAGTGTATTTGTGTATATGATGTATTTACATAAACATAAAAACGCAAAATATAATCACAAAATTATAATTAAAGTTTTATTTATATTGTAGTTAATTGGTATATTATAATATTTTTCTAGTTACAAGTTAATATAAATTTTATTTTATTTTAAATATTTTTGTTTGTCATTATTTGTAAATAGCATACATATTACTTCAAATACACAATAATTAAATTAATATTTTGATAATAAAAATAAAAATACATCTTAATTATATAAATATACTAAATTAAACATCATTATTTTAAAATATATCAACATTTAAATCATTAAAAATAAATATATTTGATATCATGTACAAAATACAATGTAATTTTTAAAATTTTTATAGATGTGGTGCAAAGTAAATTTGTATAAACAACATTATAATGGAATAATATGTAAAAATCTGAACTTTAGACATGTGTTCATGTATAACGACACAAATTATTATTAGATTTAGAGGCTATGAAATGAGTCCGAAGATAGAACTTATATTATTATGAGCGAACTTCAAGCAACTGTAGAATTTGCTGTCGAGTACTGCAAGTTTTATAACATAGATTTATTCCAAAGAGGGTAAGTGGTATTACAAATTTTTATCTTACGAAACGAAGAACATGCTTTTGAGATTTAAAGTCAATATTCTAGAGTCTTAACCTTATTTGAACATCTCACTATGGCTTATGATTCATGTTTGATAAATAGTTATGCATAAACGAATGATCGAAGTCGTATGATGTTACGTAAAGTAAAGAAAAAAAGTAATATTCAATTCAATACCAAAAGCTTACCAATGAAAAATATAGACCATATATTTTTACTATATACATATGTACATGTATGTATGTATATGTAAGTATACATTCTGCTGGGCTATTCAGTGTATATTAATATAAAAGTAGTAGCTAGCTCACCTTACCTTTAGTCAATTGAATTAAAATACTTTTTTTACATTTTGATTTTCTAACTAAAAATGTAAGATATAAAAAGAATTTGGGTTTTTTAATTAAAATGATCAAGGGTAGATAAGTTTTTTTATTAAAATTATTGATAAATCAAAATCTTTAAAAAGTTTACAGAATAAAATAACGTTAAAATATCAAACATTGGAATTTTTTTCTTATTTCCAATTAATCAATATCAAATATTTAAAAGATAGTTTATAAAAATACATAAATAACATTTAAAAAGCATAGAAATATTAGACGTAAACGTACAGTACTCAAGAAACTGTTTTTTTTTATGTTGCATTATTTACCCTTTCCTTACGCCTTGCCAAGTTTATATTTAGTCCTGTAAGGTCAATGACAGAAAACAAATACATATATATATACGCATTATCACACACATGTAGACAGTACAATTGATTTCACAAATCACTTTATAATAAATTGTTTTCATTTTTAGATTGTATCGTATTCGGACTGAATTGAAAGTTTCTCCTAAGCTTTCTGTTCAAGTAGAAGTTAGCTTGAAAAAACATCATCAAAGTAAGTTGAAAATGACAGATATATCAATGAATACAAAAAAGCATTAAAAGCATTTAAAAAGTAAAAATTGCCATGGGCTTGTACAAAAGTTTTATTTCATGCATTAACAAATAATAAACAATATTGTATATAAAAATATTCCTATTAAGAGTATTGATTTAGTAAGTAAAATTAAACAGCAAAAAATATCATAAAGAATAAGTATACTTTTATAAATTTCAAGAAAAACAATTTATTAAATCGTTACTTCGACTATCTGAAATTCTAGTAATACCAAAGTTAAGTTTTTTTTTTTTTAATAGTTACTAATTTTTCTTTTAATTAATATTTTAATTGTTAAAAATATTGAAAAAAAAAATCAAAAAACTTAAAATTTCCAATTAGGAAAAAGTATCTTCACAAAAATATAAAACATTTTTTAAAATAACACTCTGTTTAACATTTTAAATTACAAGTTAATAACAATAAATAGCGTTTTATTATAATTAGATTTTACAATATCTTATAAAGTTAAAAAGATATTAGATATTAAAGTACATTTAAACATCACTAAATTCGTATCTTTTATTTATATACTAAGAAATTTCAATGCAGTGATTTTTACCTCCACACATTCAATATTTAGTGACTTAGGAACATATTCGTTGTTCAATGTAAATAGTGATCTATCTACAGTAATTTAATAAGGATTCAAAATAAATATGAATTCACTTAGAAGGTATTAAATTTTATCTTTATAAATCCCATAAAAAAGTATTTAAAGATTTTACAGTATATATGTAGAATGATTCAATTTTTGCAAGACTTGAAACTAAAGTATGAAAATATGATTTTTTTCATCGTTTAATCACAATGAATTTCATTTTTAATTTGTATTGCACCTTTAAAGCGTTCGATCTGTGGACTGAGGTTACCCTAAAAATTATGTTCGCTTGATGATAAATGAAATAAAATGTTTTTTTGACTTTAAACTGATTTATAAAATAACTAAAAAGTATCGAATCAATTGAAATTGCTAAGAAAATAATATTTATATAAAATTAATAATATGTATTTTAACAGGACAAGAAAATCAAAAATCTCCTCAATTATACTATGTTGAAAGTGGAGAAGATCTTGGTGTCAGTAAAACATTCAGAATACTTTATAGACATGAAGAAATTATGCTTGATGACACAATATTATTTAAAGCACATGTACTTGTAGACAGTCAAAAAGTAATTAAATCAAAAAAATTAATTATAAATACTTTTTAATCGATTAAATTTTTTTTTTTTTTTTTATCAGCTTCAAGACAGTCTCGAAAGAGCAGGTTTTATTTTGAATGTCGAATTGTGGTTTGGAGAAAATGGCTCTATGTGCTGTGTTTCCAGTAGGACTCTTCAGCTTCACGTTTGTCCGGCGAGAGGATTACATTATCACTTACCAGTGTTATTTGACTATTTTCACTTGTCAGCTGTGACTTTAACTATACATGCAAGTCTAGTCGCATTACATCAACCTTACATTAAGTAATGTTTATTATACTTAATTTTATTAACATTTTAATTGAAATTGATAACATTTTAATTTGTTAATTCTAGAAAAAGTATTTTGAATTATATGCAAAGTTGGTAAGTTATATTTTATTAATTTGTAATATTTTGATAAGACATTAAATTCAACTTAAATTTTAAATAGTGCTCCTAGAACTGGTAAAACATGGTTAACAAATAATACAAATCGATTTAATTTTCGGCCATCACATTCCATAGAATCAGTTTTTTTTGGCAATGCGGTAATGAAAATTATTACTCAATACTTTTTGTTTTGGAAATAATTTAGACTTTTTGTATGGGTGTATTAATTTTTGTGTATCTATGTTTATAGAATGGCCAAAACGGGACCACTAAATGTGTTGGAAGCTCAGGGAATAATAACAATAGCAATCATGTCAGTCGTATGCTCAATGCTCGACTTATTCATCGTGAAGTTTGTTCATTGTTATCGGAAGCTTTCGACAATCTTCATTCCACAATTGCTCAATATAATAGAATAATGCCTGTATGGCAACAGGTAGAAACACCGGTCGGTCTCAAAACTGCTGTCACTATTCCTCAAACAAATAAAGTATAACGTTATAATAATAAACACGATTTAACATTAATTTAATACAAATATAATTTTTTTTTAGATTTTAGATGAAGATGAATTTTTAGCCTTAGCAAATAGTAGTATAGCTCAGTTATGTGCTCAAAATATATTGTTATGGCATCATTTTTTAGATAATTTTACAAAAAAACAAGCTATAAATCAGCATCTTTCCAAAAAACACCATCAACTTCGAGTAAGCAAATATTTTTTTAACTATAATATTAAATTTCATCGTATATACTAAATTAAATTTAAATTGAAAAAGTGAAATGATTTCATACTTTGAAGGAAAACTTTTTACATCAACAAAAAAATAAAAATAATAACGCATCATTTTCAATCAATAATTAATTTATAATACATATGAAACATAATATACTAAAAAAAATATGAAATAAATGAAATTTTTAGAATTTTTTTTTGATGGATGTTTGAAATTATGCCAATAATTCATTGACTAAAGTACTAAACACATATGTACCCATAAATGTATATTCGATATTTTATGTTAGTATAACATACATTCATTATTATATTTATTTGTAATTTTTGTAAAATATGCTGTAAAATTAATTGCTCTATATAGATGTTATTAAATTATTATAATATTAATATACATTACTCAATATTACGTAATCTCATTCATATAATACATACCTAAGACATACAACAACATGTAACTAAAAATTATTTTATAATGTATTAAACTATACAAAAATATTTGAATATTTAAAGTAAATTGGTTACTGCAAAAGCCGTCTTCTCCCGTGTGTGAGACAATTTAGAATTTTATTTTATATTTCTAAGTTAAAAATCTGAGTATAGGAATTAAATAAAAATTTTATAATCTAAATTCAAAATAAATATAAATAATCTGATCAATAATTACACTTTTTTATGTCCGTTTGCTATAGAAAACGTACAGTTAAACATGAAAACATGATTTTTCCTCAGAAAATATAGGTATTTGTAATAAGTATATATACGCATGAACATGAACAGAGTTCTTTTACCTTCATCACTTCTTTGTTTAACTGGTTTTACACTCACCACTTGGAAACACCATGAGGTAGTATTTCAAGTGGTGGACTCTTTTATTTAAATAGGTTAATTATTTATTTACGTTCGAAGTTATATTTCATAGGATTTATTTTAACAGGTAAGAAGATTTTCCGAAGCATTTTTTGTACTAGAAAATCCTAGACAAAGTGCAGCAGGCTGTTATGATGACCATAATAACTTTCAACATTATAGAGCCGTTTCAGAAGCAGCTAGAAGATCTAGGTACTTAGCTTCATTGCCACCTTTACCTGTTCATTGCTCAGCAACAGATGGTGACCCATTAACATTACCTGTTATTTTCGAAGACCAATATACAAAACCGGGAAGTAGTGCTAGGCGATCAGATAGTGGTATACAAAATAATTCTTTGTTATTATTATAATATTAATTGCAAAATATTACTAATTATTTTTAAATATTAGATTCTCTTATGAACTCATGTGGTATTCCTTTAAATACGCTACGACAAACTCTCTTGCTTAACCAAGATTGTAGTTGCGGAATCGCAGCCATATTAGAATCGAGAAGATGTAGTCAAATGGCATCAACTGGAAAATTACTTAAAGTAAAAGGTAAATTATGCTCAAATAATATTTGCAATTCATAACTGTTTTTTTTTAAATAGGCTTTAGGTGTCCAATCAAATTTGATTGAACATTAAATATTTTATATTCTTTTAAAATGTAGAAGTTATCGCGTAAAAAATATAAATAAATATACATACCGATATGATCATAAATCAACTAAGATGTATAATGTATCTTATACACTAATGAATGGTTTTCTCATAAAATGTATTATTTTTTATAAATATTGGTCATTTTATAAAAATATTTGTATTTTACATCCAAAAAAAAATTACATTATTAGTGAATAAAAATTAGTTAGGTTTTAAAAACTTAAATCAAAGTATAAATTGATTAATTATTATTTTATAATAATTTACAAATATCAACATTTCAAATAAACATTTTATTTATAATGTATTTATGTTTATGTATATTTTTAAGGGGCACATGAAGATCAAAAACCAGATAATCTTCGCATTAAAACTAGGCACAGCAAGTCATTAGACCAATTATTAAGATCGACTGTAATGGAAACACCCATGTTATCATTACCACTAAGTTTTTCCAGAACTTTCGAACCGAATAATAATATAAATAATACTACTGAACGATCAATAGTATTAAAATCTTCACCACAAAAACCATTAGATCTCATTCAAAATACTAAAATTATGACACTTCCTCGTCGTCTAAAAGATGTCAAACCGTTTGAGTTTCGAGTTCAGCCAAATGGCTATGCATCGTTACCATTACGAAGAAATGATAGGCGAGCTTACCGAACAATAAGTTCGACACAAAAAATTAAACCAAAAATTATAGTTAAGAGTAGATCACCAACATCAGGCGAGGAATCTCCGATTTCAAGATTAGGAACTAGTGTAAGTGTTCCACTTCAATTAGAAGCGTTAAATACATCATCGGTAACGGTGAAATATTCAAATAGTGCTACTTCCATACCTGATATGATAAACGAAAAAATAATTTCGGGTGTTGCAAATAGTAGTGAATCAATGCCTGATCTTGCATCAACAGTAGTCGGACGATTCTCATCAGTTTCTGATAGTGATATCACATCAGAACAAAGCGGATGGGTTTCTAGTCGTCGATCTTCAATATCTTCATTTTCAGGACAAATTACGCCAAAAGGTTAGTTGTATATTGCTTTTACATTAGTTCAATTTACTGTTACATTGATATTTTTTTCAGTGGAAGATCCATATGAAACAAAAGAGGATCTATTTATAGGGAAAGAATTACAAAAGAGATTACTGAAATTATTAGAAGAATCGCCAAATAGAAAAATGGTCGTCGCTGAAAAGAAAATTAAAACTTCTAAGAATAATAAATTATTAACTAATGTTAATAAATCAATGACTAATGATCAGTTGTATGAAGAAGTTCGTTTACCACCACCAAGGCAATTTAGAGATATTCCTCTTCCACCAGAACCTTTTAGAGACACAATTCCTCCACCAGATTCAGTTGATAATTTATTATATCATATGTATGAAACAGTAAAAGAAGCAAGATGGAATGATCAACATCGATTAGCCATGAGACAAAAGAAATTTTCAGAAAATTCTAAAAAGCCAGTGTCCAGGTATTCATTCAATATAATACGTATACGTACGAGTATACATATTTTGTAACTTGAATTTAAGAAATATTATATTTAACCAAGTGTTTTTATTTAGAACTAAGAAAAATAGAGTGGAACAGGAATACTATGAAGATGAAATACCAAAAGACATAAAATCTGACGACCGTATTCATTCTTATAATAGTGTTGAAGACAACTCAATGTTTCAAAAATATAAGGAACAATTTAAAAAACAAATGAGTTTTACTGGTATAATTTATAGGTAATCGAAAAATAATTTTATACAAATTTTAATTTTCTTTTTTTCATGTTAGTAAAATAATTGTTATTATAATAGCGATGCTCATATATTAGCTTCAACTTTGCCATACTTTCATATCAGCGAGGACTTGCGTATGTTTTCACCAGAAGGTGTTCATCTTATTGTTTGTGTCCATGGATTAGATGGAAATTCGGCCGATCTACGTCTAGTTAAGACATACATCAAATTAGGCTTACCAGGTGCTCATCTGGAGTTCCTTATGTCTGAAAGAAACCAAGTATTTTATTTAAATCACAATAATAATTATCACTCCAGTTACAATATGAATATATATTTTAGGGTGATACATTTTCTGATTTCGAACGGATGACTGATCGTCTTGTCAATGAAATTCTTAGTCATATATCTTCGTTTCAATTACCGCATTATCCGTCTAGGATAAGCTTTGTAGGTCATTCACTTGGAACGATTATCATCAGAGCAGCTGTCGCTCGACCTCAGATGAAACATTTGCTACCGAAAATGCATACGTTTTTGTCACTTTCTGGACCTCATTTAGGCACTTTGTACAATACTAGTGGATTAGTAAATATGGGTAACTCATTTTTATATATTTTAATATCTTATCAGTTCAAATATTATTATATAAATGTTATTACTCATGTATAGTTCATATTACATAGTTCCACGTTCCGAGTATAGTTACAAAAATAAGGATTAAGAACAAATCAATTAACTTTTCAGGTTTATGGTTCATGCAAAAAGTAAAAAAAAGTGGTACTCTACTTCAATTATCTTTGAAAGATGCTGTAGATATCCGACAAACGTTCCTCTATCGATTAGCTCAAAATTGTCATTTAAGTTATTTTAAACATGTGCTGTTGTTTGGTTCGTCCCAAGATCGATATGTTCCACCTCATTCAGCTCGGATTGAGTTGTGCAAAGCCGCCATTAAAGATACATCACCCATTGGTAAATATATAATTATTTAAAAATTTTCTAGCCACTTGTGTATAATTTGTACCGTTAATTATAATTATTAGGTGTATATTTATGTATAACTTGTATACTTACCATGTTTATATTTTAGGATTGGCATATCGGGAAATGGTGAACAACATACTATGTCCTATAATCAACAAACCAGATGTTACATTTATCCGTTACGACGTACATCATGCATTACCTAATACGGCTAATTCATTAATAGGAAGAGCAGCTCACATAGCAGTTTTAGATTCCGACTTATTTATAGAAAAATTTTTGGTGGTAACCGGACTTAAATACTTTAGATAGGTATACAATTTTATATATTTTGATTGTTAACAGAAATGTATCAATTTTTCCCATTCGTAATATTCTTCAGACAGATTTATAGTTATTATCATAAACTCTTCCGTATTCATATCCTACTAAACTTGAATACAAATTTGTACAAATAATGACTGAAAATAATAATAAATATTGAATCAAAAATATACCTACATACCATACATATACACAACGAAAAAATTGAAATGTTGTATTATAGATTTAATGAAACAAAAATTCTCAGACGACATTAATAAATTAAATCCTATCATAAGTTGGTACGTATATTTCATCAGATTATGATATGACATTTGAGATTTTGTATGGTATAGTGATATAGTTACATAAATTATCAGGGTTTATATTTATTTATTTTTCTTTTGACAAAACTCTACAATGCTAACCATTAATATAATACACATGTTCATATAATTATATATAATACATATTAAAAAATAAACAAAATCAATTGTGAATAAAATAATATAGTGTAAATCATTAATATTAATACAATTAGAAATTAGTGTTATATAAAGTATCACAACTAGCTCAATATTATTTTCATTCAACAACCACTAAATTTCTTCGGAGATAGTGTTTACGATATCGTTTCAATAACTATCAAACAAATTTTATGTCTCTTTTATAATATCCATTAATTAATACATGTGTATGATATTCTTAGCCTATAAACACCCCGGTCTCATAATACGGAATGCACCATACTCTTGTAAAGCATATAGGTATATTTGCATTTTTGTGACCTGTCATCGTCTCTTAAAACGACATCAAACCTTTTTTGAGAGCGTGATACTTGGTAGGGTATGGTTGAAACAATATACTTATAGGAGTCGTGTCCCATATATTTGCTTCAATTGAGGTTCCACGTATTCTCAAGATATAAATTTCCTGGTTCAGTAATAATTACTCAACAATTTTATTATTAAATTAAAAATATTTCAATTATATATTGTTTCTCATCACTCCATATTGATTCGCGAGATTTCAGTCGTTTGCATGGTAGGTTTAAGGTTTTTGGGACTGGTAAGTTTCTGGATAATGTGGATTCGGTTATTTTCTTCATCAGGACGACTGCCGTCTAAGTGTAGAGAATTAGGTTAAAATCACTGCAGAGAGCCATGATGATGGTATGATTTTCTATAGTGCCTCATATATTAATTTTATTGGTGTGGTTTCATGGTTCATAGATAATTTTTCTATATAATCATTTTGAAATGAAAAGTGTCAGTGTTTAGATATGCAGGGTATCTACATCAGAAGTTGCTCCACTCAGTATTTTTATATTTTTGTGTCTAAATTTTAGTTTCTGTACAATTATACTCAAGTGTTTAATGTAAGTTAGTGACCAATTTAAAAAGCTACTAAGAAACTTATTGGATATACATTACGTAATAGGTGTTTAATTCTTTCATCGCAAAATACCTATATTATTAATTATAAATCTTAACCTGCCATTTTGTTGTTTAGGTCAAAACACAGGATACTGTATAATTTGAGATAATGCAAAGTCATCATTTTAAAATTAAAAATCTATATGAGCTACAAACATAATTATATGAATTACTAAAAATATTGTATTTTATTTTCAAGAATTATTTTTTCATATTCCATGGTAAAAAAAGACCTTCCTTAGTATCTTACTATAGTATTTTTATGTACCTAGGTAATAATTATATATAGGAATATAATTATGTTTCTTGAAATATTCAAAAGTGTATTAAGACCAACAATTTAGAATAAAATTATTGTTAAATAGTGTATTATAAACTAATATTCTGTATTTAAAAATACATTTTGTTTATAGATACTGTTTTAAAATTAAATCAAAATCAGTAATTTAAATTATCATAACTATAGTATTAACTTGTGATGGAAACATTTAAAAAATATACTCCTATATCAGTTGGTTTTCAATTATAATGCCATCAAAATAACATCTTTTCATTATATATATTTATATTTTTTTAATACCGACACCTTACAAAAAATATTATAAAAATATAAAAAAATAATATGAATGAATGATCATCTCTTAAATTTAATTATTATCGTACTACTATATTAAAAATTTTATAACCTACCAAAAAACTAAGAACAATTCTATATAAAGACTCATAAACAGTATTTTCATAATAATAATATTAGTCTAAATGTACCTACCGGTATGTATAAGTGATAATGATAAAAAGGTTATTACTATAAAGGCATAGAAAGGTTCAGTTAGCTGCATTATTCATTTTTTTTCTTACTGAATTGTATACTTTAATGCTCAATAAGTACAAGTCAACAACAAAATATTGTAATATTAAATAATATTTACCTAATACTATGGTTATATTATGAAATGTAAACACACAAGGGTCAATTAACTTTAAATTAATTAAATGTATGTTTTAATAAAATATAATGAATTATACACATGTAATTAATGATACATAATATTGTACATTGTTTTTGTTTTATAAATAGATATTAAGATTGTTAAGTAATTTTATAAATAAAATAAGTTAAAATTGAATCATAAACTTTGGTATATTATATAATTTAACATAGTGATTCCCAACCTTTTTTTACTAATCACCCTTTTTAGATTTTCAAAAAATTTTTCCCCGGACAAATTAAAAAAAATATAATGTCATTTTCATAATCAGCCATTTAATTAAACTAAAAGATAAAACCCTATATACAATTTTTATTTTTATATACGAAATTCTTAAATCTACTAAAAATATTAATTATAGAAATATAATATAAGATTGACTGTTAAATAATTACAGAAAAATTACTTTAACTAGTAACTATCTTAAGGTTGATGATTTCCTGATACTAAAATTATATTTGGTTCAATGAATGTTAGCATCACTTTTAAATCTCCCTTTTCAGATATGTCCAACCGATTTCTTGATTATATACCATTTGATTATTGATACCATTGGCTGTTATTTAATGATATTGTAGTGTGTATACATACTATGTATACCTACATAATTCTGTATATTACTTTTGTTACATTAATATTTTTAATTGTACACAGTTACTAAAAAAATTTATTGCAATAAGTTATAAACAATAAAAATGAAAGCCACAGCTGAATCACCGCCCTTAGCGCTTCCTTAAGTAAAACGCCCCCCCCCCCTTAAAACTAAATAAGCCCACAAGGGAGCAGTACCGCCTATGTTGGGAATCACTACTTTAAAAGCTCCCCCAAATTAGTTCTAGAGTTTAAGAGCTATTATATTATGTTTAAACCTTGGTTTTTTGAAGGTGCCTCTCAAAATTGATTAACTACATTTTTTTCTTTGATTCATTGATATTTTTAAATTTTAACTAGTAAAAATAATATAACTACCATTTTTAAATTTTAAATTTTGTTATTTAGGATCAAATAATTAATAACAACTATAATAAGAAACGGGTTAAATACTTATTAAATTTATTTTATTTTTGGCATATATAATATAACAACAACTACTATTGTATTATTATTTAATTGCTTAAGGCTGTGATTTCATATTATATTTTCTTTGTTTATGAATTATAGAATACCTATTATACTCGACGTTAACAATATGATTAAAAAAACTGCAAGATTAAAAATGTATTTTTTAATTAATGTAATAAGAAAATACCAATGTTTGATATTAACTAATTGTAAAATATTCTTCAATAATTTCATAGTATACCTACTAAATTCTCAATTAAATTAGGCTACATTGAAATATAGATATATCCTTAGCTTTTTCAATTTTATAAAATATACATTTTACCATAATCTGATGAGTATAAAAGACCCATCTCATTTACTCGCATTAAAAATTTAAATAATTTTATTCAACTTTTAATTTATTAATTATGTTAATTCGAAAGCACTTTGTTTTAAAACAAGCTGTTGACGGATATAACACCATACAGTTAATGCAAACTATTTTAATATAGATGTTTAACAATTCATCTAGTTAATAATAAAACCAAGGACATATTTGTGTTGAGGCCATGGGGGGGGGGGGGAAACTAATTTTTCTTCAACACTAACTTAAAAATAATTTATAGTTCATTACCTACAGTTCATGTTCCTGTTATAATGATAACATATTATAATGATAGACTAGTAATTTATATTCTTAATTATTTATACATTACATTTTTTAAATAAATCAATGTATTATATTAAAAAAAATATGAGCCATGGGAGGGGTGAATGCCCCCTTTTCCCTCCCATCAAATATGCCCTTGGGTGTCAGCTGCTATTCGGTATCTTTGCGAATCTGTACACGATGGTGCACGTGCTCATTTCGATTGCAACGTTACCCGTACGACCATAGACCTTATACTCTTAATTCTGTTGTTATTTTTGTTATTTTTTTTTAATCATATTACTACAATATCTATTAATGTTTTATTATTTACTTGTGCAATTTTATTGAAGAATAGTTGTCATTGTATCCTCATTTACAAAATGGAATGAGGCATTTGTAAACCATATTGAAAAATTATTAAAATAATATTATACCTATTATAGAATACAAATATAAATTGTTAAAAATTCAAAACCAGGAATAGTCGGAAAATCAAATAACAGCTGATGTATAATAATCGTACACATAGATATTTTATGGTATGCACAATAATTTTAATATCGTGCGTCAATTATCATAACGCTGCCAGCGCACCCTCTATCACGGTTCAGATTTTAATTCACAGGGCCGGTCTATGAGTATAAGGTCTATGCGTACGACTCAAGCAGTCGGTTAGGACGGTGGGTTATCGTTACGCATTATCCCACGGATATATATATATATTAATATATATACAGTGAGTTCCGCTTAATGTGATCACTGGTTTATAGAATCAACCGTTTATTAGAATCAAAAATGAAAATCCCAAACCAAATTGTATGTTACTAATGTTAAATTGACCTTTTATTAGAATCACTAAGTACCGGATAATTAAATCACTTTTATGAACAATCTTATCGTTTTTATGGTATCTCAAACTGATTAATTTATAAAAACCATTTTATTTTTGAATTTATCAGTATTATTGTATATCGTTGTACATTATGTCAATCAATTATCTTTGTACGTCGCGGCGTCGTGTACTTGTGTCATATAGTTTATTCGGTTTATTGTTCATGATCAGACGTATTTTTTGAAATGTCGACCAAACGAAATGATTTAACTATAAAAGAAAAAAAAGATATACTCGTTCGTTTTGATAAATTGGATAAATGTTCTCAAAGAGAAGCCGCATTAGCTCTGAAAATTCCTCAACCAACGTTAAACAAAATTTTAAAAAATCGTAAGGAAATTGTTGAATATGAAGAACAAAATTTGCCTCTTTCTCGAAAACGAAAACGAAATGGACAAAATGTTGATGTAGAAGAATCTTTATTACGATGGTTTCAGCAAGCTAGAAATTTAAATATACCGGTCAGTAATTCTATTTTACAAGAAAAATCTGTAAATTTAACTTTGCAATTAGGTGTAGACAATTTTAGTCCAACGATCGGGTGGTTGACTCGTTGGAAAAACAGAAACAATATTTTAAATGCATTTATTTAATTTTATTTTTATATATTAATTTTATTTTATTTTATTCAAAATTTAATTTTATTTCAAGCATAAATGTAGAATCATTAAATAAAAACAAATGTAAAAATCAATAATTTTATTAAAAAATTATAATTATGTATATATGTATTAGAAATTATTAAATATCTAATTATAAATAAATAATTATATTAAAAGATTGAATTATAAAAAAAATTGTTGTAATGCTTTTTAGAATCAACCGGTTAATAGAATCAAAATGACCTGCACCAAAGTGATCACATTAAGCGGAACTCAATGTATATCTGTACATTATCCTTAGTGTTATCAACGATTTCACTTGTATTTGCAGCGTTTCGAGACGACGAGCCCGTCGGCATTTGTAGGCGATCGACTAAATATATCACGTCCGGTTGACATTCTATAAAACATTGTTAATGCGTAACGTCGACGGTGATCACATCATCAACTTTTCGAACTCGATCACGGCACCCCGTGTGCATCGGTTTCAAGTTTTTTTTTTACGCCTGACGGATAAATATATATACAAAAAAAGGCACTAAATCACCTGATTACAAATAGTGCTATGTAATAGCCGCTGCCGGATAAACCACTGGTGCAAGCGATGCATTGCACTGGGGTCCTGCCTTTTTGAAATATTAGGCGGGCCCGGGGCCCCAATATTATATACGTGTGATCAAAAAATACCCGGATTGCGTTAATAATATTTATATCAGTTAAGATAACGAAATTCCGATTATGTCATTCGATAAAGTAATTTCTAACGAGGATTTTGGTTTGAAATCGATAACAATATTTATATTTATTTTATGTTATTTTTACAAAAACATGCTTCAGTTGTGTGGCGAATTCCGTAATGGAAGGAATAGAAGAACAACGTGTGCGCGTAAAATTTTGTTTTAAATTAGGAAAAAGTTCGAGTGAAACTTTTGAACTTTTACAGCAAGCTTTTGGAGATGATGTTCTGTCTCGGTATTGTTAAATGGTAGTTAAATGGTATTGGGTTAATTAGCATAAAAGAAAATTGTAAAGTATATATGACTAATGAATTATTGTTACCTGAAAGGCATGTTGCATCAAAAGGACAAAATCATTTTGATCATGTACTTAATTTTAAGTTAATCAATTATATAGATAAAAATGTAAATACACACCTTGTTACATCACATATCAGTAAATTAACTGATTTATATATGTATAGTATAAGCACGTCAGATGTAATAAGAAAAGAAAATAATGAGATAATGAATAATACTATTGTAAGGCATCACATACTGTTATATGTGATATATTCCATAACTATAACTTTCATATTAATAATTACCATAGATCTTTGTAGAAAGCACCAATGCATGTGTATTCGACAAAAGAACCAACCTACGGAAGAGGTACCCGAAATCATACTCAGGGGACATATGGAACCAACAGCACCTTCAATTACGGTCAACCCTGAGAGGCGGTCATCAGTGTATTCCATCCAAACTATCCATTATCCACGGATTTAGAGGATAGTTTCGTCTTAAAGAGGGGCGTGTAATGAGCAGGCCTCATTTACGTCATTGCACCACATCACGCCATAAGACGTCAGCATTACGCTATACTAAATGGACCAATCAAAGGCTCTTTAAATCATCACGCCACTTCCGTATCAGGATACGTGACGCAAGTGGGCTCCTATATAATGCACCTGCTCACTAGCCACGGGAAATCAATCTTAATACAGAGCTAACTGACTGTGTTACTGTTAATACAAGTCGTGATCGACTTGACTCCTGTACAGTTTAACTTATTATCTATATACATAATTACTGAGTGTTTGTCTAATTTAATATACCAAATCATTTAAACTTGTTAACATATTCTTCAAAGTGTTCTTTTCTTTCCCTCTCCATCACTACCCGTCGTAATCCCTTTGGGTGCACGATAGTGAGTTAAATGAGCATGTCTTGGTTTTAATGACTATAATTTGTATAGAGATGATCGTAATTTGATGTACGGTAAACTGCGTGGAGGTGGTGTATTAATTGCTATAAATAAAAAAATATGCTGTGAACTATTACATGTTCCTTTCGTAACTGGAATCGAACAAATATTTCTAAAAACTACTTTCAACAAAATAAAAATAGTCTTAGGCTGTGTTTACATACCACCTAATGCAACAATAGAAATGTATTCTAAATATTGTGATGTAATAGAGTCTATATTTTTTAATAATCCAGATTACCATTTTATTATAACTGGTGATTTTAATTTAAACAGCTTCGATTGGTTCATTGAACCAAGCTTACAAGGTAATGTCCCTGGAAATTTATAATTTAATTCTTTTGTAAATCTTTTAAATTTAAAACAATGTAATTGTATTAAAAACTCTTTAGGTCGTACTCTTGATTGTATATTTCTTAGTTCTGATATTGAACTTACTTCTATTGTCCATTCCTCCGAATCCGTTGTACCAATAATTGATGATCATCATCCTCCTTTAGAATTATATATAAAATTTACGGATTCCTCTTTACATAATTCTTATGAATTTCCACTTGTATATAATTTTAAAAATTGTAATTTTAATGAAATTTCCCTCTTTCTATCTAAAATCGATTTTGAACTTAACCTAAATAATAATTTATCATTTGATGCTCAAATAAGTAAGTTTTATGAAATAATTTATCATACATTTTCTTTACATGTACCCAAAACAAAAATATTTAATAATTTTTCTCCTGTTTGGGCAAATGCTGAGCTCAGAAAACTCATTATTGATAAGAAATGTGCTCATAAAAAATTTAAAATTAGTCATTCCCAACAAGATTATCTTATATTCTCGAACATTCGTAAGAAGTGCAAACAGTTAGCGTCTTTCTGCCATACACAACATATTACAAATTTAGAAAACAGCATCCAAACAAGTATTAAACCTTTCTGGAAATATATTAACTCACTGAAAAAAACTAACAATGTTGTACCAGATTGTGTTAAATATCATAATCACTCATCTTCAAATATCTCTGAAACAGTTCAATTATTTGCTAACTACTTTTCTTGTGTTTTTGTTTCTGATTCAACAAACTTTAACGAAGAGTCCCAAATAATATCAAATGTGGCTTCAATGAACAATATAAATGTTGATTTAAGCTCCTGGATTATTGATCAAAATGAAATTCATGAATTTTTAAATGATTTAGATATAAATGCGAGTACAGGCCCTGATGGTGTTCCATCAATATTTCTAAAATTGTGTAGTTTTGAATTAATTAAGCCACTTTATTTAATTTTTAATAAATCTTTAAGTTTAGGTTATTTCCCTAATATATGGAAAAAATCTTTTATCACACCAATACATAAATCAGGGGATAAACATAATGTTTCAAATTATAGGCCGATTTCTAAATTATCTCATATACCTAAAATATTTGAAGCAATCATAACTAAAAAATTAACCAAAATAATGTCTCCATACATATGTAAAAACCAACATGGATTTAGACCAAAAATGTCGATTTCGACTAACATGTTACTTTTCCAGTCTAAGATACTTGATTCCCTTAATACCCATGCCCAATTAGACTCAATTTATACTGATTTCCAAAAAGCATTTGATAAAATAAACTACAGCCTACTTCTAAATAAATTAGTTTTATTCGGCATCCATGGTAGTTTTTTAGATTGGATAAAATCTTATATTAGCTCTCGCACTCAGGCTGTAAAAGTATCTTTTAATATTTCAAACGACTTTTTTCTTACCTCTGGAGTGCCTCAAGGTTCTCATCTGGGCCCCCTCTTATTTATATTATTTATAAATGATCTACCTTCCATATTTGATAGCTTAGTCGAAGTTCTCTTATTTGCTGACGATGTAAAGATATTCTCAATAGTTAGATCTCCTGAAGATACTTTAAATTTACAATCAAATTTGGATAGGTTTGCAATTTGGAGCCGTCATAATCGCCTACCCTTAAATTTAAGTAAATGTAGTGTTATTACTTTTTCTCGATTGGATAATGCAATTTCTTATAATTATAAAATTGATAACTGTGTCTTAACGCGTGTCAATTCTGTTAGAGACCTAGGAATTGTTATCGAAAGCAATATGTCCTTTTCTATACATATAAATACTATAATTAAAAAAGCCTTCAAAATGTTAAAGTTCATTAATAGAAGGACGAACAATTTTAAAAATCTTTATACATTTAAAACATTATTCTTTTCTCTTGTCAGATCTCATCTCGAGTTTGGCTCTGTAGTCTGGTCTCCTAGTTATTCTTCATATAAAGAGGCGATTGAAAAAGTTCAGAATAAATGTTTAAAACTTATATGTTATAAATTGAATATACCTACTTCCACCAGTTTGCAATACTCGGTTTTTGGATTTACAAGTACTGAACTAAGAAGGAATGTTGCAGATATTATGTTCATATTTGATTTACTGAACGGTCTTATTAATTCCCCGGAATTGCTTTCTATGATTGGTTTTATAACACCAAGTCGTTACTTAAGAAAATCGAATCTGTTCCATGTACCATTTTATAAAAACAACTACAGTTCCGCATCTTTTTTTCCCTAGAGCTCTCTCATTATGTAATGTTATAGCCGATCACATAGATTTCTTCTTTATGTCACGTGATTTATTTAAAAAAATGTATACTTAGGTTTAAATCTAGCAACAAATTAAATACCATGTTTATTATTATTATTAAGATTAATGCGAATATTAAAGTTGAATTATGTTATTATCTGTTTACCAAATTGTATATCATTGAATGTTTATAAATTAATTCATGTCATAAATTGTTAATTAATTATTATTCACTTTTATTACTATTTTATTTTATTGTATTCATACTCATATCATTACTATCATAATTATTGTTAACTCTTATATTGTAACTTAGTGTCATATTAAAACATAATACACTTTCTGTACTATTAATACCAAAGGATATCTACCCGTTTATAATGTAAAATAAATAAATAAATGTCTTTATAAGTATTCGAATACTTGTATTTAAATACTTTTCAAATACTTTTCGACCAATATATTATAAATACTTAAAAAATACTTTTTATTTTTATTCTAGAATATTAAATACTTATTTGCATTCTTACTGCAAATTCTCCAATATTTTGGTTATAGGTATTTTGAATACTTTTAAAAAGTATTTGTATTTATATTCAAATACTTTTTAAAGAAAGTATTTGAATACGTATTTTAAATATAAATGACACCAAGTATTTAAGTATTCTGAATATATTTGAAAAGTATTCTTAACAAGAATGTAATAAATAAAATGAGTTTAAAGATAATTTTTTTTTGTTTAGTATATTTTACTAAGTTAATGAAATTTTGAAATTTAACAAGAAATACAAGAAATAGCTACGATGATATTATACTAAATAATGCAAAATTGCTTTGTTCAAGATGGGGAATTCCCAATAAATTTGTTAAAAAAAGGGAAAAACATTTTTATAATAATTTAAATGGATATTGGAGACCAAGCACAACTGAAGAGAACTTTAAAGTAAAAATATTTTTCCCTGTGTTGGATACCGTTTTATCTCAATTTGTTAGTCGGTTTCAAGGTATGCATAATGTAATAGAGGATTTCAATTTTTTAAACCCTATTATTCTTTCTTCGCAAATCGATAAAAATATTATAAAAATCATCATTTGACTTTTGTTCAACATATAAAGATGATATTAATTCTGACTTCCCACGACAAATGTTATCTTTAAAAATTGTTAAAAAAGATGAAAAATTATAAACAATAAAATATTTGGGTTGTTTTATTATAATTAACGATTTATCAAGTAGTTTCCTAGATGTTTTAAGTGCTTGCATAATTTTTCTTATAATGCCAATCACTGTGACAGGAGCAGAACGATCATTTTCTAAATTAAAACTAATTAAGAATTACCTAAGAAACTCTTGTGGACAAGAGCGTTTATCAAGTATAACTATTTTAAATATAGAAAAAGAACGAACGAAAAGTATAAATATTGAGAAGATTATTGACCATCTTGCCAAAGCAAAATCAAGAAAAAAAAAATTTTAAAATAAAATTATTGAAAAAAATTTACTTGCTTTATTTAATAAATTTGTAACATATTTAGTATACATGTGTTATGTTTATTATATGTATTTGTAACCTATTTACTTTGTACGGACTTACTCTAGATATTTATGCAATAATTATGTTAAATAAATAATTTATTAAATATTATATTTATGGTAAATTATGGTTATAAATTTATAACGCAATTTGATTTGTGGTCAAAATATGAAGGTAAAGTACTATAAAATAACTTAAATTTTTTTTGATGAGGGCCCCTAAATCTTTTTCGCACTGGGGCCTCCAGAATTCAAGATCCGTCACTGGTAATAGCTAGCTGATTATGTATACAAAATCAATATCATATTACCCATAGCCAGTGTTTTCAACGAGTGTAAAACATGTACGAAATATGCAATACGACCGTACAAGTCAACGTACAGCAGATAACTGCTGTATATATATATATACGACTATACGATTATTACATTATATATTTAGTTCAATTTCCTCCAAAAACTGCATAAGGACGTAACTATGACAATATAATATATAGTTTATATTAATTATGTATAAACTGTGAACCCCCCCCCAGAAAAAATTGAAAATACGCCATTAGTTATCATTATAGCACGGAATTATATGCATTAAAAACCAATCAAATATGCGCTAAAAGATCAATAACATGCACTAATGTTAAAATACGCATTAAAAAAAAAATTTGCACTGGAAATTTTGAATTTTTGATCATTCGATTCAAATAATACATAAAAAAAATTTCATTTAAAATTATGTAACCCTACTGTAAATACTTTTTTTTCTTCTTCATTTTAAAGGAATTTACTATGATATTTATAGATTTAAGCTAGATTTAAATATATATTATCAGTATTATATTTATTTACTTTTATTTGTACATTTATTAATATATATGTACATGTAAAATAGTATTAGTAGTAATATTTTTCATCGGCCCATTTTCGTCAATATAAGCAGCGGCCCACCGAGAAAATCCCGGTTCTCAACGGCTCTATTGGGATAAGGTAGCAATGTTTAAACACTTAACTGCAGATTTTACTCTACCACCAGTTTTGCTTTCCAGGTATGATGACTACCTACATTGAAATAATAAACCATCAATATTTTCTTCTTCTCCCAATGTTATAATTGCATCCTAAGAATAATTGTTGATATAATATGAGTATATATGAACCCAACATATTATATGGAGTAAATATGAACCCAGTAAGATATAACTCACAATACAATCAAAAATGAATAATGTACATGATTAAATTATGTAAATAGTAAATTAATATACAAACAGTTATAACTCACTAAAAACAGTTATTTATACTACTGCTGTTAAATATAACTATATTTATTAATATATTAATTATTCATTGTTATTTTTTCTATTTTAATTTCAATTAAATAGTAGTAAAATATTAAGAAATAAGTAATTTATAAATCTCAGAATAATTCAAATAAATAAATAATGAATATTGATGTTTAATTAATTGTTTTCAACTTAAATAGATGTCAGGAAATTATTAAATAAAATACAAATATTAATAAAATTTGTTATGTTTTTATTTAAATAATGAAACATATCACAAAAAAAATCTTCTACGGCTGGTTTCAATTTTATGTCTTTTATCTGTCATTATCCATCTGTATTCTCCACATTTTGGATCATATAATCCTTCTTGGAGATATTGCAATCGTAAAGTAAATTTAGGTCCTAATTCTCTGAGCGATGGTTTATTTTTCAAAAATTTATATCTATGATGGCGAAAGAATATGTAATCTCTCTGATTATGCATTGTTACAACATGTCTGCCTTTAAACTCTGCTTGCTGATGAAAAACTGCACCTAACATACGCGCAACAGTTTTACCTAATCCAGTTGTAAAATTTGTAGTTATTACTTCTGGTCTATGGTCAGTAAATTCTTTACGTTGTCTTTTGTTTGGAAATATAACATTACTTAAACGGAAATATGCTGTTGGACCTTCTGGCATATGAATTAGAATTAAACCGTTGGGTTCCCCACGATCTTCATTTAATACTATCAAATCTGTAAATCCTTTTTTAATGGCAGCTTGTATTGTCTCTTTTACGGATGCGTCACGACGAAAAATTCTTACAGAATTGGGTATAATTTCAGTTAAAATTTTACCAAATTCTCTAACCTTCCGCAGTGGTTTTTCCTTGTATGTAATTAATACTTTAGGTTTATAAAGGTCAGAATAATAATCAGCGAATTCATCATGTTCAAATTCAGCAGTTAGATCTTGTGTTTTTTGATCAAAATTTTCATCGTCAGAATGGAAAACTGTTGAATCCGGTTCCCTTGTATTTTCAATTGTCCGAGGTATTTGTTTTGGGTCACCATTATCTTTTCTAAGTTTTCTATCTCTTTTTTGAACTTTTTTTTTATTTTTTAGTTCCTTCAATTTTTCTTGTCTTAATAGTCCTCTAGGTTTTTTTCGTACTAATTTCGGCAATTCAGGCTGCTTTACCTTAAAATTAAAAATCAATGCTTATTAATGGACACAAAGTAAATATAATATAAAAAAAATCATTACTTTAAAATTAAAAATAAGTATTCATTATTAACTAATTTATTTATTCATTATTTTTATAGGACCATTGTCCCCATGTTCATTCATTAAATTTTAGTACATAGTTACAAATTATGATATTAAAATAGTAAATAATATTCATATAAACCATGATTAAAAAGTATCGTCATTTGAGTATTTAATAAGGATTCATACTACCTAAATCTATATTAATAAATAGGAACCAAAATAAATTGAATATAAAAGTTATAAAATTTTTTTTAAATTGCATATCAAATTATATTTAACTGTTTAAACAATGTTTAGATACCAGGAATTAGACATGTTCTCAGGGTAGGCTTCCCTTTATTGTTTATAATATCACTGAGTAACTTAATATGTAATGTAAAATATAAGACAATTTTATACAAAAGCCATAGAATTGAACGCTAATTTTATTATATAAATTCCATTTCATTTAAAACTATAATAATTAAACTAGTACTACTATGTACATTTTCACATCATGACTTCTAGAATTATATATTTTCTTAACTTTTTACTCTTAATTAATTCAAAATATTTTGAAATATAAAATAATAGAAAAAATGTAAAGGTACCAAAATAGTTATGAAATAATTCACGTGTAATTTATATAAATAATTTAAAAATGTTCAAATACATAAGACACATAAAATTTACTTTCATTGTTAAGCTATTGATTGCATTGAAGTTTTAATATTGTAAGTGCAATCATCTTTTTAATACATAAATTTACATTTTTAACTATTAAACTCAACATCCATAATGATATTAAAGATAAATATACTATGATTTTTATTTCAATATTAATCACTTGGGAAGTGATTAATTCAAAATATATACTAATATACTAACTCCGCCATATTAAGATAACGTAATACTTATTATTAAAGAATATGAATATATTGAAAAAAACTCACCACGACTTCGTTTTCTGGTTCAGATTCCATTGTTTGGTTGATACAATATATTACTGATATTTTAATTACTAATTATAATTTCAATCTATTATTTTAAACATTTTTAAACATAAACATAAATTATAAAATGTTATCAATACACATGTATAGGTTTTTAGGTTAGAACGATAAGGGAAATCCACAGCACTCGATCGACGTCTTTGTAACCAAGACCACGAGAACCACTATTGCATAGGTAGGCCCGCCTCAGTTTTTGTGGTACGTTTTCCATCTGGAACAATTTTTCTGCATCACCCAACATTATCAAATTCCGTTTTATTCATGGAACTGATAAGGTTAATCTGTTGTCGTAGTGGAAAATATTAGAAAGTGACTTGTAAGTGGCTAGTCGCTAGTGTCTACCACGGCCTACCTCTACCTAGCGTCGATTTCGTAAATAATGATTGCACAGTAGTTCAGCTGTGTCGAAGACCGAGGACCTAGGAATGTATCTCATGTAATGCGTAGTGAAGGTTATTTTCTAAGTTTTTCTTTTCGCCACTGACTTTCATTTGTCTACGCGTCACGATCCAGATTGCGAACTGATCAGATTGATCATTCTGTATCCGATTTGACAAGTAGTGGATTTCGGCGGTCAGGTAAGATTAATAATAATTTCCACCTATTTTGTCGATGACAATTTGTGTTTATTTTGAAATTTTTAGTCCGTTAAATGATTTGTTTTTAATTTTATCCAGTAAAACGTCTGTCAACGTTGTGCGTTTTGTCATGTTTTTTTTAGTATTCACGATTTATCCTGGTATATTAATAGATTCGTATGAATAGAACCCTTATGGGTGTGTCAGGCGTTGTCGTGTGATGAAGGGTAGGCAAGTGGGTATAGGGTATAGGTATATTCATTTTTCAGGGTATCATTATTTTAGGGAATATTTTTTTCAATTGCAATAAATATGAAGGAAACCATACTTATCTATTCGAAATTTTTGATATTATTTGCTTTAAAAAAAAAATTACATTAATTATAAATTTCTTAAATTCTAAATGTTTAGATTAATTAAATGGCAAGTGGTTGTAAAATTTCCTAAATAAAATGTCAATGGTTTGATATTTAACTTATGTAGATTGTGGTTTTTGAGCTATATTTAAATACATTTTAACATAAAATATGTAATAATGTTTATTTTAATTAAAAATTCTATGGAAGTTAAACGTAATTAACATAATTTTTTTATCGGGTAGCAAATTGCTTTTCGTTTAGTATCTCAGATTATTTATTACTTTTTATAATTTATTATTTATTTATTTTATTATTTATAATTTTTTTTTTTTGGCCCAGATGGCATTAAACATTTATGTCCCTTATACATAATTTACTTGTGAAATTGAGAGGAAGAAGTATTTGAATATTATAATTACCTATCTAAGCAGAAATATGTTTAAGTAAATGCTTTGTTTTACGTATAATGTTATGATAATTGCTGTTTAAAATATATTTTGATTAATATTTAAATGTTCTTTAAATATTAAAACATTATTCTTAATGTCTTCAAGAATGAAAATTTATTCTTAAAATTTATATTATAGGAAATTTATATTTAAAACAAAATTACTTGATATTCCTGTTACTGTTTATCATTGAAAATGTTAATACAGATTTATTTAGTACCTATTTAGTTTTACTATCAAATATTTTATGAAGGACTTTGTTTATACCATACGTTTTTAGTTAAGGACTTATAATACAGTGTGAAGGGCATATTGATTAATTATATGAAAATTTTATGAAGTGTTCGGTCTATTAATATTTCATATTTGTATCTATAATACCAAATTAATTAAAAATAAAGTATCTAGTTTCTAACAATATTTTATTTAAATACATAATTACCCCCATGATGTGTAATAAAATACATATTATTATTCATATTAAGTATGTACTTATAGATTGTTGTTTTTATTTGAGTAGATTTTTTTAAAGAATTATCTATTTATTTATTACAATATTATATAAATGATTAAACATTTTATTGAAAAATTTGAAACAGTATTGTTAATTTAGATTTTTAATACTAAAGAATCTATTCGTTAATATTCATATTGTTTTGGAAAATGTTTTTTTGATAGGTAATTGAACTCTATATGAACTCTACATTTATTATTAAGTTTCTCTATTATTTTCATTATTTTCTGTCCAAAACCCAAGTATTTATAAAGTAAAACTATTACGAAAAATTACAAATTACGATTTCAAATTTGAAAAATGTTTTTCATTTTTTTTTTTTTCTATGTAAAATTAATACCCACTGATGAATGTGAGTCTGGCCAACGTATTTTATGCAAATTAGTAAAAATAAAATTAGTAAATAGTGGTGCAATGATTAAATATTGTAATACATTTTTTTTTTTTTACTTATTGCATTCATATTCAAATTTCTCTTGTTCTTGAGAACTTAAATTTGAAAAGTATTGATGCCATTGGATCCAAATCTGCTTTAAATCATTTGTCGGGTACAATTTTTTATGGCTATCATTACAAACCAACACGATTTTTTTATAGTTGGGTATAGTAAAATGTGTTATAGAAGAATCCTTTAAAATTATACTTCTTCGAGAGTCTTAGCCTATAGAATTGCTGAACATTAATAACACCGAAATATAGTATGATTTAATACAATTGACTTTATGTTATAATTATATTACCTTGATGAGAAGCATGTTAATCTTGCGCAGTTTGAACAGCCTCATTAGCTTCTTAGTTTATAGTTGGTTAGATATACATGTTTAATAGTTCCATCATTGTTTGATTCAGTATTAGAATTCTAGACTAATATATTAGTAATAAGATTAGTATAAACTTTGAACATACGAATAAGCATGATTTTGTTTTCCCCCCTAATAATTATTTTGTTTTAAATACGTACATTCTTCTATCGCGTTATATTTGTCCTAATTAATTTTTCAAATAACACAAATCTTAAATTAGGTTTTTATTTATTTTTTAATATAGCGGAGTTTAAAACATTATATTGTTAAATTTGATGTCCCGATAAAAAAAAATGCAATTAACCTAATGTATACATATCAACACTGTAGTATCAGCTCTAACAAAAAATTACCAAATCATTTTTCATAGTTCATTATTTTAGTACTACAGTTCAACTTTCTTTACGTAGACGTTTTTTTTTTTTTATAAATATATATAAAAAATAAATAATTATATTAAAAATTAGTTACTTATTAATAAGTTTAATTTATTTTATTTGTTGATTTTAAAACCATTATAGTACTTAATTTTGTTAATAATTATTTAATAAGAAAAAAATTTGTTTATAATCAAATTTATAATTATTTTTTTTGTTTTGACTAGAAAAATGTAAGTTACCTTAAATATATCGAAGTGCCGTAGCAACCAAATGTAGCGTCGTGGCGAAATTTAAAAATGCGCCCATATGTGTTTTCAATTTAAAAGTGATAAAGTTTTTCTAAATTAAATATTCTTTATTGACCGTTGTAATTTTTAACATGAAGAGAAAATTTTTCATTTTTAAATTCGAGGAGTTAGCACCTCACGATACTTCCCCTTGCTACGGCCATGGTATACATAAATTAGTTTTTTTACTAACTAATTAATGCATAAATAAATATATTTAACTTATAATTTTTTCAACTAATTAATCTTTGTTCTTGAATAATTTAATTGAGCAACAAATCTAACGAAAACTGAAAAAAACCAAGTTTAATTTACACTTAACCCCCCCCCCCCTGCTAAATCAATGGCTACGCCACTGGCCTGTAGTAATAATTTGCTTTTGACCGTATACAAATTTGTATAAAATGGGAAGAAAATAACGTTTTTACTTTGGTACCCAATTCGTGTAGTGGTATAATATCGTTGGGATACAGTTCATGCGGAAAGGATTTCCTATGTATCAAAACATCGATGTTAAAAAAAATGTCCATCTCAATAGTAATCGTGCATGAGATAATAATGATTCGTTTGTTTAATTGTTTAATTAACTGGGGAAATACGATTTTTCTATTATCTAATAAACATGATATCTAAAATAATGCTCATCATACCAGATGTCTATAAATAATATTCAATAATAATTATGAAATAAATGAATATTATTATAATTTATTTCCTTTTGGTTTTTTCAGTTAACACGATTTTGAATGGAAGGACTACTTCACTATCAACTGTTTTTTTTTTTTTTTTTTTATAGAAATTAGGTATTTATTTAGTCGATACCTTTAGGGTGTTATTTTTTTTATTTCTCAACAATTTTCCTAATAATAATTGAAAAACTGTCGAAAATATATGGTATCTTTTTCTATAATTTTCGTTGAATTATCAGAAAATGTATACAAATTGTGATTAAATTATATTAGTTATTTTCTTGTTCAAATTATGAATAAGTAAGATAATAATTTAGTATCTAATAGCGTAATAACTAATAATCTATGGCTAGGAGTTTAAAAATGTATGGCATATATTTAAATTTATAATTCACTGTATGGCTGTATGAGACTTAGTAGTCACTTTTTTATATTGTTATTGTTTTGCTATTTTGTCGTGGTACTAAAGTGACTAAATTAGAGTGCAGTTATTCTAAAGGAAGGAATAAAATACTGCTGTGTGTTAAAAATAATTTTCTAAGTATCCGAAAAATGTCTAACAGTATAAACAGTTATATTTTCAAATTACCTAAGTTTTAATGATCAAGTTTTAATTATTGATTCAGTTAACTCTAAAGCGATTACTTGGCTTTATGAAAAGAAATGGTGTCGAATTTAAGAATATTAAATGTCTTGCTGCATTTTATCAAACGTTGGTTATCTTAGATTGGATATCTTAGAATTTGGGTTTGTGGTTTGGAATTTGGGCATGTTCCGTTTCCGTAAAAAATCCGGTTCTCTGATTTATGCATAGCCCTTTTCCGCCGAAAACGATAAAGGTATGATTCACGTTTCCGCCAAAATTTATTTTTGTGAAAAAACGTTTCCGCCAATTACTATTTGGAAACCATGTACAATTGTTACATATTCTTATCATTATAAATTTTAATATAAGTAGATAAATCCGCTTACATGTTGTTGGTAATTTTTGACGATCTATACTTTTGACTGAACAATTGTTTCCATGATCACCTATAATAAAGAATAAATTAATTAAATTTTTCATAAATAAATACATATATTAATTTTACTCGTAGATAGAAAATGTACCTTTTGTTTTAAATTTTACTTTTTCTTTTTCAAAATTATTGGCCCTGCAATTTTTCATGTAACATCTAATCAAAAACATATTTAAAACCATCAAAAAGCAACATTGTTTTACCTCTTTTACTTACAACAAATTCCATTTTAAAAACGATATTAAGTGTTATTAGTCTGGTGACAAACAGAACAGATGCTGAATCGAAATACTATTTAAGAATTTAACATTCATCAGATAATTATTGTGTGTAAATTATAAATAAACTATAATACAGTGTATGCTTCCTTCCATTATCGAAGATTATCGGTGTATACATTACGAATGTTATTGTTTTTTATACATACCACACCCACACTGTGATAACCGATTGAGCACATGGTCGTTATCGGCAGATCTTTTTGACGATCCGATTGAGCACGGTAAAAAAAAAATATTGTGTACAACGTTGTCAGATTTTTACTAATATGTATTGTATTGTATGTAGATTACTAATAGGAAACTTTTAGTCGAAAAATTTCGCTATCGAGATTTATGAGTACCTCGGAAGTTTAAAATAACTTTGATAGATAGGAAACCAGAATTTTATCTAAAACGGTTGAACTGTTATTGTATTACATTCATTACTTCTTCAGTATTAATCTATGCATATTCAGCAGAGCTAATCCATTTAAACGGTTCTCTATTAAAGCATTTGTAAGTTTTTAGGTTTTGAGTTTTTTGTTTTTTTTAATCGTCGCAATGTCGAAAATAACTTTTCTGGATTATCTGTTGTAATGGGTTACAGTTATGTTCATGTTAGAAATTTCAATAAATTTAATGACATTTTAGACATATTTTTTAGAGAAGTCCACCATAATTTATGTAAATTCTGCAATTACTACTAAAGAGATGATTAATGCATAATAATCCCCAATATATTCCGACATAAAAATTGTCAAAGTAACATTGGATTATATGTGTGTGTATGCCAAATGCATCCGTGTGTTGTATGTATAACACATTTATAGTTTGAAGTAACTGATTATGATTTCCAGATTGAAATTCTAATAATATGAAAATTTGAAAGAAAAACCTGTTTTATATAAAAGAGAATTTACTGTGGTCCATGGAAGGAGTAAGGGGGTTCTGACTTGTAATAATACTCATATCAAACAAAATTCAAATGTAGAATAATTAGTTTGTAGGAATATTGCACCTAAAAGAACAGTGTAGGTAAAATCGTTCCAATTCCCTCCTCTTTGGACTCGTACGAATATTGTGTAATCATCAATGTAATTAAAAATATTCCCTCTTATTTTTATAAACTCTACGTTGTAAGATACAATTAATGTTTACAAATATAATTAGAAAAACTTATCGATTTATATGTAGTGACCCCTTCTATTAAATTGTACTTAAACTAAACAAAAGGAATTAATACCCACAAAGATATTTCCTTAGGGATACCGCTTTGGGCGACATTGTTTATTTATTTAAAATGTTCAGTAATTTAACTGAACCATAAACTATACTGGTATACTATATTTTAATAATTTTATTGTTATGATGAAATTATAATATTACAAATAAAATTTAAATTAATTTTAGTAGATTTATTAATTCATTCATAATATCAAATTTAAAGTCTAAATATTATATTTTATTTATATTATGTTAATTTTTTATTTTTAACTGTATAAATTGAATTTATATTTTTATAGAAACTTTAATTTTGGTTAAATGTTTAATGCTTATAGCAAATGAAATAATATGGAATTGTTTAATATTAATTATATTGAATCATTTAATATTTATGTAAACAGAATTTTTTTGTATTTAAATATTTGTGTTATTTATTAAATAATTATTTAATAATTCTTTGTTAATGTTGAACTAAATATTGTTATGAATTATTCTAATTGGATCATACGAACTTTGAAAAATTAAATAAATAAGTAACAATGATGAAAAAAGTTAAAATTAATATATCTAAAACAAATCTTCATAAGGACATGTTTTCTAATAAAGATATGGAATATACACATATATAGTTATTCAATATGAGTTAAGAACACAATTATTAAAAATATTTAGTTGATTAGTATATTATAAGTATTTTAACATATGTAATACAATTTCTTAGTGAAATATTTATTTATATTTTGTTTTGAAATTTGAATTATTTAATAGTAAATAATAATGATCTAGTTAGAATAAATGAGATTATCGACTATCATAAATTATTTAGCTTTATGTTTTTTAAAGAGATTTAGTTTTTTAATAGCAAAATAATATGATTTATCTATATTTTAAGTAAGGTCTGTGGTTTATACTTATGTATAGTGGTTTCCTGTTATTCATACCACTTATTTATTTAGATAAAAATAAAAAAAGTAAAAATGCTTAGTAGTTAATATTACATTTGAGCTGTGTGTATTACTTAATTATAATTTTTTTTTTTTAATTTATAAATTGCTATAAAAAAAATTATAATATTATACTTAAAACTTGTGTATTTTATCTTTAATAAAACAATTTTAATGACATTACAAAATATATATTTACTATCTAAAGAGTCCTAAGACAACAAAAAATTATTTTATCTAATCTATAATTTCGAGTAAGATGGGATATTACAAGTGTTTGAAGTCTGCTAATTATTTAATTTATTATTATTTCTTATAGACATGAAAATTAAAATCTTACAAATATTTCCTGCATTTATTAATCAAGTTTTGATTTAATTGTATTAATAAGTAATTTTTATAACTTTCAGTTTTAACTATGGACCATCACCATCATGTAGAAACAGCTATACAAAATAGTGATGACTGCTGTACTGGTACTGATAATCCAACAAGCAGTGGTCAACATATGATGCATCATATGATGTCGGCAAGTTACATAATTATTTTATTCATATATTGATTAATACTAATATTAAAAGAATGATCGGTTAAAAATATTAACACTTTTACTAAATAATTTTCTAGTAAAAAGTATATGTTCTGACTATAATTTTGTAAGTATTGGGAAAATTAATTTCTTTGAAGTTTTTCAATACTTCAATAAATTTTAAGTTACCATATTCTAAGAATTTTTTTATTTAAATTTAATGTATTCTATTTAGTACTAATTTATGTACTTTATGTATTTAGTACTAATTTATGAATTTTTTGTGCATAATATTTAATAATGTTGATTAAAATATTTAAATTTTGGTCTCAGTAGCGCTGAACTAAAATTAAATTGGGAAGAGGCACACATTTTCTGTTACCAACCACCTATTACACCATAGCAAAATATATAGTAGTTAATACATTAGATTTTTGGGTACCCACCAAAAAACGATCAACAGTCACTCTTTTTGGGTTATAGGTTCAGCAACATTGGTTGGGCTTAAAGATGTTTTGCATAAATAGAGAGATGATATAATATTTTGCAAAAATGTTCTGGTTTTCAGCTAGTAGATTACAATATATTATTAAAATTAGTTCAATTTAAATATTACAATTAAAAAGTATTGTAGATTTCAAATTACAATTTTAAACATTATACATTTTTTGCAAGCTCTTTTCAAATAAAAACTTTTTTTTTTGTTGATATCTGTACATTTTGTTTATTTTGTGGTTCGTAAGACTTCTTACAGACTAATCCAAACTCTTGATGACTAATACATATATATGTGTGTGTGTGTGTGTGTGTGTGTGTGTGTGTGGTTATTAGAACTTATTTGTGTACAAAATAATAAAAAAACATTTTTATAGATGTCATTTCATTTTGGCACTAATGAAACTGTATTGTTTGATTGGTGGAAATTTTCTACAACCAGTGGTCTTATATATTCAATGATTGGAATATTTTTGATGGCAGCATTATATGAAGGATTAAAATATTTTAGGTAAATCAATAATTTTAAATTTGTTACATTAAATAATTGAATATTCATTTTTGTACTTTTTAGAGAATATTTGTTCTGGAAATCATACAATGCTATTCAGTACAGATCAGTACAAATTCCCTTAGAAAAAGGACCTAATGATCCTGTTACACAGTAAGTTTCAATATTTATTAATAATTGTTTATTAGTTATAAACAATATTAGTTATAATATCATCTATCATAAACTAGTTCTTAATCTATAAATATAAACACAATTTGAATATGCATGTATTTACTTCATTCATTTTTATAATCTTATATAAAGCCAAAAAAATGTAATTTAATTTTTAATATTGCTATAAAATATTTTGTAAGCATAAAATTAAATATAATATAGTAGGGTATTCTTTAGTATTATATATATATCATTAGTAGTACGGGACTCTAGTACAAAAACTATTTTATGAATAAAATGTTTGTTTTTTCTATCTTATAACTTAATTTTCACTTTTTAGGGCTTTATACATGTTTTAGTAAAGTGTAGAATTCATACTTTCTATCATACCAACATAAATATATTTACCGCGTGGCGTGTAAGGTTAATCAGATATTTAACAAAAATATAAGCTGGGTTTATAATCATAATACATCTAGAATTATTGATTTAATTCTTGCAATTCATATTGTTGTTAGCATATGAACCACCACCTAACATTTTATTTTAATTATATTTTTATCTTCTAATTGTTTTTTTTTCATTTATTTTATACATTTTTGAATCTAATAAATAATGTTTTATATATTTACTAAAATTCTAGTAACCACTTAAAGTAACTAATTGGCTTTAACAATAATATAATAATTATTTTTTTTTAGTCTGTTTAACATTGTTTTAACCAGAATAGTATAATTTAAAGACTAATTTTATTTCAGAATGGTCGGAAAGGTGCTTTTAAAACAACCTCTGTAAGTTTAATGATGTAACATGTTCATTGCATGACAAAACCAGTTTTTTCAGTTCATACTAACTTTCAATATGATATAAATATTTAATAATATGTTTTTTGTTTATTGGTTTTACTTGAAATTATTTTTATTTTGTGGATTATGCATGGTTGTTTTTTATCTTATAATTTCTTAATTATTGCATGTAACTAAAATTATTGAATACTTTTTACTGTAAAATTTCTTTGTCATTAAAATATATAAGTGATATATTATAAAAGCACATAAACCTTATGATTTTGAAACCAATAAATTCATTATTTTGCTTATAATCTAAATAATTATTCGGAGGAGAATTTGTTTTGAAACATATTTGAGATAACTAAGTGACTCATACATTTTTTTTGTAAATATTTATGCATATTTCAGAGTCTTGTTTAGTTAGTGGTAATATTATCTATGGTTTATACAAATCTATTTAAAATGAACAGTAGTCAGAATGAGTCCTTATTTATTCAATACATATTTTTCTCTAAGAAAAAGTCTAAAGAAATTCCCTTTTCTTATGATTTTTATAATGTAAAAACAAAATTTTGATTTATTAAAAACTTGCTCTCTATTATAAATTAATAATGTTTTATGTTTTCATATGTTTTGTGCATGCTTATGTGGTTATATGATAGTTTTTCAGAGCATATTTCACTTATGATTTGATATTTTACATCTATAATCACTAAAACTGGCTATGACCTCATCGTATATTTTTCTGTACCATTTAAATATTATTTAATTGAATATAACCATGTTTCTCAGCTAAGGGTCTTAACATTTAATGTGTAAAATAAATATTGTATAAATTAATAATGAAAAACTAAATATTTAAAAAAAATGTATGATATAAAAAAAATTCAATTTTTGTATTCTCTTATTTTTTTTATTATTTTTTAAGGTTTTGAATTGAATTTTTTTTAATATTTAATAAATATTGAATTTTATTATATATATATATATATATATATATATATATATATAGGTACATATTTTATTTTATTTAACACAGTTAAAACAATATTTTAATTGTATAATGTATTACTGTTTTAATATTACATCGGTATTGCTGTTATAATTATTGTTTTTGTTTTTTACTTGCATGCTATTAGATAATATGTGTTTAAAAATATTTGTGTTTATATATTATTATAAAAGTAACTTTATAGTTATTTAAGTATAATTCTATTACATTGTATACTCAATTTATTTTTATTTTGCAGGCCTACAATGTTCAGTGTAACACATTTGCTTCAAACATTCCTGCATATTGTTCAGATATCTGTCAGCTACTTATTGATGTTGATATTTATGACATACAATGTTTGGTTATGTTTAGCCGTTCTATTTGGCGCTACTTTAGGTTACTTTTTATTTGGGTGGAAAAAATCCGTTGTTGTTGATGTTACAGAACATTGTCATTGAAACAAATATTTTTTACAAATAAAAATTCATTTATATACTTATTACCATAAAATGTATACAATATTATATAATTCTAAAAGATATTACATGTTTAGTTTTGCTTATATCAGTTACTTTTTCACTGGTTAATAAAGCAATAAATGCAGTATGCCTGATGCCTGATTTTCAGGTTTTTTTTGTAAACTATAACTTATTGTTAATTATAATTTGTTTGGGTGGGTATTCAGTCCCATCATATGTTTTAAGAATATATTATTGAAAACTCCAAAGTGACTTTTTTGAAATATTGAAAACAAATGTATACTTTTTCCATGTGTTATCGAATAAATTTTTGTATTTTATCTTTTAATTAAGTCTTAATATTTTTTGTCTGAGGCAGAATAAGTAATAACTGTTAAGGAAGGCCATAGATGGATTAGTAATACCGATGAAGAGACTGTTAGATATAAATGAGAATGATATTGGAAAAGAAAGAATGTTGTTATATAAAATACATAAAGACACATTTGTGTAAAAGTTATATAAAATGTTATTTTCTAAATGCATACTATGTATAATTATTGAACCAAAATTTTTCAATCTTTTAATTTTAATGAAAACTGATGTACCAGTGGCAGTTCTAATGTATGGGTATGATTGGCAGTTGCCCATACCAAAACTATTTGCATTTATTTAATAAAAAATTCAATGTCCCATCTGCCACTCTGCAACGTACCATATAATACCGTTCATGTGCTGTGACATCAAAGAGATGTACCATACAGATATGTAAAATAAATTAATATTTATTGTACATACCTGTGACGCACCCTTATTATTTTTGTTGATAAATATACGCGCAATTTTAGTTTTACACACCACATATTGTGGTTTATACTTTTATTCAGGATTTGTATTAATAGTGTTGAACAAAAATGTATGTATTTTTTTCAACATTTTAGACTGTATGGACAATGAAACTATATTCATTAATTATAACTACTCAATCATTATAACTATCAAATACTACGGAATATACATGCACGTAATCCAAAGTCATAACTTTGGTAATGAAAAAGTAATATTACAAATATGTATCAACCATATATTAATAATGACTTTGTAAAATCAAGGTTCAATTGGGAAATCTCTGATTTTAAATGCTTCGAAATCGACTGATGTATATCAATAAATATATTGTTTTGGTAAGGCCTTCACCAACTTGTGAAAAATATTTTAATTTTCTATGGCAATCCCTGTTAGTTAGTGCTGAATGTAGTTTTTCTACTATGCAACATATTAAAATGTAAGTGAGAGTTACAATGCAAAGTCCAAGATTAAGTAACCTAGCTTTATTATCTATATATGTAAAGATAACTCTGAAAAACTGTTAAAAGATCCAACTCCGGTTCTAGAAGTGTTTGAAAAAATGAAAAATAGAAAACTGTAATTTCAAATTTAATATTAGTTCCTAATTTTTAAGTATCTATATATTTTTTTTGTAATAAATAATAAAAATATATGTGGCTTATACTGTCACTATATGTTAAACTAAATTTTGTTTAAAGAAAAAAATTGAGGATTAAGAATTAACATTGACCAAATAGCTTTATTGAAAATCGGTCCATGTCTATTCTAAATTTGAATACTGGCACCAGCTCTGTGTTGTACTGCTTTTAGAAATATTGTTCAAATTTTAAATTATATTCTTGAAAACAATAAGTTATTGTTATTCAACAATGTGAATTTAACACTTAATTATCAGTTTAATTACAATTAAATTTAATTATTAATTTTTAATAGATATAAGTTAGAGGTTTGTGAGTAAATTGATTTATTTATATTTTCTTACTGATTGGACTTCAGCTTATAATATAAGTACCTACAACATACTATATCAAATATTTATACTATATATTATCTTGAGTTTTTAAATGAAATAATGAATTTGGGCATCGAAATATAATCAACAAATAAATACTAAATAAACTCAAACAATTAATGACAACAAATTATATAAAATAACTTATCACAAATAAAATTTTTTTTACTACCTACTATTAACAAAATTAATTTTTTTTTTTATATTTTATTTCCGGCTCTGGCTATAGATAAGCTAGGCCAGTGTGCTATCAACATAAAAGCACCACGTCGACGTATCAAAATTATGACCAATATATCCGGTACATAAACTGCTTCTATCACAAAATCAATGGCATATACAAGGGAGGGCATACACTATGCCTTTTTTTAAATGTTATAAAATAATGTTTTCGGTGTTAGGGCGTTAGAAACGTAAAAAAAAAAATTAATGATTTGTTTGCAAATGATCCTCCATACAAAAGTTATGTGTACGCCACTGCATAAAACCTATGTGTTCGCTAAACGGGACAACAATGGTACAAAGTGGTATAGGCGTAATTTTTTTTTTTTTGGGGGTGACTTGGGTGTGCTTAGCACCCCCAAATGTGTTCATGTTAATTTGAATTTAAATACTTATTACTCATTATGTAGGTATAGAAAAACAGAGTTTTTATTATATAAATATCTAAATTTATTATTTAAATAATGGTGGTGGAAGTTAATAGGATAATAGTAATAGGTAGGTTATCAGATTTTGAAATCCCTAAACTGAAATCATCATATTGAATTACTCTGTATAAAGGTTCAATATAAAAATTAACCATTTATGAGTATATTTTACCATTTCTAGTCTAATTATAGGTAGGTTCTTTTTTTTATCAACCTGTTTAAAATTTTACTTTTTATAATTTTATTAATTTTTTTTTTAACCAAATATTTATCTGTATTCAAAGTTTCACTATTATTGGATAGACCAAATTTTTTTAGTAAACATTTATTGTTGAGAATTTGTGTAAAAACAGTAAAATGCGTAAAATTGTAGGTATAAACATTTACTTAAACGCTTATGAAATAAATTTCAGATTAACGATTTTTAAAAAATGTTCAGTATATGAGTTAGCTGTTATTAAATTTTCACCTAATATCCAAAAATAAAAATGTCATTACATAAAGACTTTCAAAAAATTAGGTATTTTTAAAGTTCTATATTTAAATCAAAGTCGCTATTTGAAAATGTTCTAAAATACAAAAAAAAAATATCTTTGCTACAAAGTAAAAGTTTTAAGTTTCTATTAATTTTGAAATTATGACTTAATAACTAAAATCTGAAAAATGAAAGTATTATTTACAGCGTATTTTTACCGTTTCGAGACGGTTTTTTCCTCACGCATAGAAAAACTATTAAGATTTAATAAAAATGACCTATCTAAATTACCACCGCATGCAGATTTAAAATCTAAAAAGTTCATAGAAAAAACTTTTGGACCAGTATTTCTATGCGAAAAAGTGTTAAAAAATAAAATACAAACATCAGTATAAAACCATAATAATCTTAGCTTCACTTAGAATCTTAATTTTGTGAAAGAAACATTTGTGTTTACAGATGGTTAATTCGTTATATGCGCAATAAAAATATAAAATCAAAGCGAAAAATTTAAATTTAGAAATATTCAAATATTTTATTAACTGTTGAATTGTACGGGTTGCGGGTGTCTATAACCATTAAGGAACATGAAAAAGATAGAAGCGCTTCAGCACCCCCAGATTTTTCATTGAAATTGCACCCCTGTTAAGCGGTCCTGATATAGGTCAATAACTAAGTGTACTCTCTGAGCAGTAGATGGAAACAAGGCCGAAACGTCACACATGGTATGGCAGGACTTGCGAAGTACTATTCCCTCTACACCCGAATTTTATTTATTTTTTTTATTTCTTCGACGACAAAAAGTGTCAAGATTTCAGACTAACGGCAACGTGAGGTATTTTATGTGTAAATATTAAATTTAATCATTCATTTAAAATAATAAAAACTAATAAAAAATACAATTTTTTTATGGATATCAAGGTAAAAAATACCGCTTAATTATTTTATATCCCCCTTCTCACACCATATACAGCAATGACTGACCATATAATCTTTTTATATAATATATATACCTTATATTTTTTATATAAATAATCTTTTTCATAAATGCTCCTGTGCAAAGTGTGCTTAGTATAGTGTTATGGCAAATAGTGATGTATCAAGTCAGCAGAGTGATCCAGTAGAGACTGAACATTTCTCCACATTCATTGTCCATTCCTTCCACTCCATTAGTACGCTTATGTTCTAATATGTTTTCTATACAACAATTAAAGTAAAGTAATAATATGTTTCTGTATTATAAGATAAATAATAATCAAAATCCTAGAGAAATTTCAAATTTTAAAACGCCATTTACCAACAATAAAATTACCTTTTTTCCGTTAGTATCACGGGCGGGTTTAAGGGGGCATTAGCCGAGGGGCCTTGGGACTAAACTATCCATTTTACAAAACAGTGTTATTATATATTAATAATTATAATAAAATATGTCAATGGTCATTGATGAATATGGTACCTATTTTATATATTTTTTTTATAAATAAATAGCTCATTTTTGTTGTTAATTATATGAATTTACATATATTTTAAAATGGTTTTAAATTAAAATTGATACCAATAATGTAACTATTTAAGCTTTGTCATTATTGTGAAAAAAATGACTTACATATGAGGGACTCAAAAACATATTCTGTAGTTTAAAATTTTATATAGATTTAAAAAACCAACTAATTAAATTCTTAAACCTCCATTAGCCCCTCCCTTGGTTTGTGATAAAACTCGCCCCTGATTAGTAATGAGTTTTTCTCTAAGTCGATTTTTAGTGTCTAATAAATGCATATGAGATCTTTGGTCTCCAACATTTCAGAAAACATTTTTATTTGGTATATTATATGGTTCATAAAGTACAAATTCAATTATCAATTGATAAACATTTCTTTTCAATTCAAAGTCTAATGCTTGTGCTCTAGAGTTTTTATCAATATTTGAATTTTTAGATATTTCATGTAGAACTGAAACAATTGCTTCAAAAGACAGCCAAACCGTCCTTACAAATTCTGCCCTTGCAGTCCATCTAGTTTTAAACAAATTACGAGTATTTTATAGAGTTTTGTCTACACTATACCTATAGGTACTTGAAGAGAAAAATACTTATAAACATTTTAAGGTGGAAAAAAAGTTCAAAAACTATAATACTCACTTCATAACTATGCTCTACAAATGCATTTAATCTATAGACTTGACAAGGTATGCAAGGTAGGTATATGATAACCAATTAGTTCAGTTAACATGGATTGAGTTCCTTAATTTTTTCCAGGCATACTGCTTGCAAAATAGTATGTCTGAAATACAATACGCTCCAAATCATAACAGTTTTTAGTTAACACATGACAGATATTTTGTGCTTTATTTTTTTCATTTTTATCAGTTACCTACTTTCAATGATTCGAATTAATCACTCTAATATAATTTCTGATGAGTCTACATAACGGGGTAGCATCAGCCATAACTGAATACATATTTGCTTAATTAATTTTGTTAACTATTTATTTTTTTGCTTCCAAAACAAATAATGTAATGAACTCATTTTGAGAGTTATGACTCATATATAATAAACGTGATACGGTTAAAATTTGGTTTCTTATATCCCAAGTCTTCATAACTGAAGAATGACGTAAAGTAAGTACATTTTAATTAAAGTTCCCATTTTTCTCATCTCCGTCTCCTCTGAAAGGTAATTCCTGACGTACTTAAGTATGAGATACATCAAACAAAATTTGAATTACATCTTTATGAAATTCTTTCTGGCGAATAAAATTTATGGATTTTCTTTTGTGTTTTTTTTTAAGAAGTACATTGATATGATTGAATGTAAAATAAAATTGTTGTAATCGTTCAATGCGAATTTGTGAGATTTTGATGTAAAATGTAATTCCAATTTTCTTTTTCAGTTTTTACCTTTAGATTTCATCTTTTGCCATGTTCTAACAACTTTTATGTTTCAGTATGTAAACAATTTGGACCATTAGGAAATAATCCACATATAAAATAACAAATTGAATCAGTATATAAACTGTATTCTACATATGGATATTCTGTGAACCAATATAAATTAAACTGTCGTTGTCTTCTTTGAGGAATATTGAAATCAGTGGCGTAGCCAGGATTTTTAAATGGGGGGGCTAACTACTTTTTTTGGATAAGTAAGGTAAGAGAGGATATGAGAATTCACCCTTAACCCCCCCCCCACCATCTACCACCAAGTTTTTAAATGTAATTCAAGCATTTTAGTATAGTTTTAAAAATATTTATTAATATATAATTTATAATAATAATAATAATTTTGGTTTCAGTGTTTAGTCACTTGCTCCACTCTGACAGCTGCATCCTCTTAGGCGAATTTCTGGCAAATTCAGTTATTATTTCACTTTCATCGAATTGCTCTTTTTTATTTATATTAGTCATAGCTAACTCATTCAGTCTGTTTTCCGACATGGTGCTTCTTAAAAAAATTTTTAAGCGATTAAGTGCTGAAAACGTTCTTTCCGGAATGAAAAGGTAACTGGTAACGTGGCGAATAATTGTAAAAGTATTTTAATGTTAGGTCGAAGATTGGTGCGATGAGAGAGTGAATCAAGAGCAGAATTCGGTTTTGGAATAGTATTTTGACTCCATTGTTGCCTCCATATGAACAGGTCAGCTCTGATTGTAGATGAGGTATCATCATGGAGATCTTGGACATATATTTTAGCAGCTTTTATAATATTTTTATCGTCATACATATTTAAATTGGCCGGAATAAGTCCTTCAAGTGGCATAACATCAATAAGCTTTTAATTAAAACGAGCATTGATTCTATTAAATAGTCAAGATACATTATACACATAAACATGGCCCATGGGGGCCATAGCCCCCTTAGCCCCCCTGGCTACGCCACTGATTGAACTGATTATAAAACGATTAATTATAATTAAATAATTAATATTTATTAATTATTATAAAATAAAATTATATAATATTGTTCTCTCTGTCGTTATCTGATGCTAATAATAACTAAATTCTAAATAAATATCGATTATGGACGACGATTGACAAATAATCATTTGTGATTAAATTATTGTATAGGTACTATAATAATCCATAAAATAGATAGAATTTATTGCTAAAGTCTTATCATTTTTTCGGTTTTAATATTATATCATGGAGACGCTTCCTCTTTCAACAAGCGCCTTGGGCGTAGGCCCAGGTCACCCACCCCTAACGCCGGCCATGACTTTGATAGTTATATAGTCTTAGTTTATCGTTGATGAATTCTTATAAATGCACGTTTGGCGTAAATATAAAAATAATTATAATAATGATAAATGTTATTTTATTTAAGAATATTTACAATCTGTAACAGTTATTCATACAATATGCACATTTTACTGGTAATTTTTTTTTACATGAATTGGTATGAGAACATACTGTCCACTAACAGATTTCTCAACCTACATTTACAGCTTATAGATTAGATTACATGGTTAACATCTATTCCACAGGTATTTTTCCCGATTCGCTAATTATTCCCCCCACCTGGACCGATATGTCAGTCAGTATACTAGTATATATTGTGAATTATATTTTACGAGCATGTGCATATACCTATACCTACATAATATTATCATCATCGCAAGCGTGCAAAGGTGGCAGCTGCATTATTTCCTATTATACTGCACTCATTATATTACAACCGCTGTCGTCCGTATATACGAATATCAAGGAGGCAGCTGTTTCGTTTCCGTCTCTCATCGTCCACAAACGGTTTTAGTCTAGTTCCTGTGTTGGTAACCGTCAACTACTGCGCGCGTAATACAAACCGGCGCGCTAAACAACTAATAAGTTATATAAAATAAAAAATAAACGAAATACTTGTTTAAACATTTTTCGATGATCATTTTTAGTACTTCTTAACACAATATATGAATTTGAATTCATTATTATTATAATATTATCGTTATTAGCATTCTGCAGCACTGGTCTCTCATGTATCGTATATGTACACCGCAATGAGTACTAATCATAGTATTCTCAAATACGAGTAGCTCAACCACGAACACATATTTTATCGGTGAGTAAAAACAACGAAAATACTATACAAAAAAAAATGAATGAATTATAAGAATTAGCTCGATTTACAAATCATCCATTCAAAAGATTTACTATTTATATAGTTTTTAATTTTTAGAATCGATAATTTATAGGTAGTTATATTATTAATTTAAAGATAATATCCATTACAACAAACAAAAAGTTTAAACATCTAATACAATATTACATTTAATGTTGATTCATGCGATATATAGTACCAATTTCATTTAACAATAATTGAACATTTGATATTTATTAAAAATATAATATTTACTATTAAAATTATATCTACTTACTATTTTTTTTTTTTCAATTATTTTTAATGATTATCGGGATACACATGCACTAATAACACAAACATGGAACACTGTATACATCTACATTATTTGTGATACATTAATTAAAATTGTATAAAATTAAATATTTATTCTATACATTTTTAATACATTATATTGTAGGATATAAAATATATTTTAATATAAAAACACAAAAATGTTTATAAATCGTGAAAATTGTTTTAAAAATTAAAATATAAAGAAAAATAAGTTTGTGACTCATTTGAAACGTAATAATATGTGTATTACTAGTTAATGTACTAACTTCTGTACTATGGAATGCAAATATTAACAAATAAAATATGCATCAATGACGAAACATTGACCTGATCGTTAAAAGTATAAAATAATGATAATTATAATAAAACAGCAATAATTTACTAAAAATAATTATAGGAGGAGAAAATTAGAATTTAAAAACACGATCCTCATAATAATGTATATGTTATTAAGTAGGTAACTATATATATATTTTTAAACAAATATTATTGACTGGTAAAAGTTATTTGAATATTATTAATTTCAATGACGTTAAATGAAGTAGACCTTGAAAGAATTCTCAGTGATGTTAATTAAAAACAATGTACAATTATGTTACTTACACGTATAAATGCATAGGTATAGTAAATATTATGTATTAGGTATACATCGAACTAATATTTATTTTTTGATTATAATTAGGTAATATTTTATTTTAGACATTATATATTTTATGACAAAAAAAAAAAAAAAATTAATAACAAAATTGCATTATAAAGATTAAAGTACGCGAGAAAGGTTTTTGGATGTATGTAAAAATAAGTATGAATTCATGATTGAGCTCATACGAATATCATATTTAAACGCCACAACAAATTTCCCAACTATTAATTATACCACTAAATATAAATACTATAAATAAATATAAATAATTAATATTTTTAGTTTACATTTAAATTTATGTAGAAAACAAAGATATATTATGACTAATGAGTTATTTTGTTAAGTATGTTTTTGTCACGTGATATAAAATTAAAAAAAGTTATTTTTTTCCTTGTTCGAGTTTATCTAAAATTCTAAATTTCGTATTTAATGTACATTATATACGTTTACATGTTTTTAACTTATACATACTTTTTAAGATATTACATGATAACATTAATACTTCAGAGGAAATTAATGATTAATAATATGTTAATGAATAATATAATTTCCAGGTAATTTTCAAAAGTTGCTGACATTTAATAATTTAATCGAATTCACTAATTTGTGGGTAAGTTAATGATATATATTTTATCTTGTATTAACTATTAATTACTTAATATTATTAATTTACTTAAATTTTATTCACCTTAACAGGGATGACAGAAGGATTTAAATCAAAGGATATTATTTTGCATGCCCAAAAAAAATTCTTAGGCAAAGTCACCAACAAAAATGTTATAAAACTATTCATCGATGAACGAAACGCAAATGTTTTGGATAATTTGTATAGACTAGCAAAGATATATGTAAGTTTATCAATTTTACATAATTTAACATGTTTTGGAAGATTAAATATTACATTTATTTTTGTACAACAAACAAAAACAATGTACCTACCATAAATACGTATACTATTTGATGATTTCTCTATAGAAACTCGTTGCAAATATTTTAAAGGTTAATTTTTAATTAAACCCATAACCTATTTATTTTCAAAATTATTATTTCAGTATTAAAATGTCCAGGATTAATTATACAGTGTAACTGTCTGTTATGAAAAAACATTCAAAAAATATTTTACGTAGTTTAATTTTGGCTTGAGTGCAGCTCGATTTCACATTTATGACTTATTTTAATAAATACAAACATATTATTTTAAGGTTTCATATTATATCTTAAACATATACAATTATTTGAATGCAAGAGTCACTGCCTTTTGTAATTAAGATTCTTTTCTCGCAAAATAAACAGTATAGTTTGTACATAAAACAATCAAACAATCCGTACATTCTCACATACATGTACCAGATAACAATTTACAGTTATATAAACGATAAATAAAAGTATAATTTAAAACCATTTTTATATACATATTTTTAAGTTTGAATTAAAAATATAATATAATGTATGCTATTAAATATTATAATACCGTAATACTACTGTAATAATAATAAGCCCATAGGCAAAATAATTATTTTGATTAGCATTTATCAACGTCTTCCTACAATCCATGAATAACTATTCTTACAGAAACTAAGATATATAAAAGGTTAACCATATATATATATATATATATGTTGCTAAATGTAAAATTTTTCTAGAGATAAACAATTTTACATTTTTAATTTCTCATATAAAGTAACAATATGACGTTTTAGTTTATGATTGATAATTACTCCATCAACGACAATTTTTAACCTTACTATTAAATCATACAAATATTATTGGTTGGTTGGAATTTATACTTTAGAAATCAACATAAAAATCGATTGGAAACAAGTTTCTGGATTTTTTCGTTAACATGCTTTGACTAAATTTTAAACACTCCAAGAGCCATTGTCATTATTTTTTTTTATAATCTTAAATTTAAAAAAAACAACATTTTTGTATCTGCTGTTTACTAACAGTATCTAGTATACCTAATTTGTTTATCTTATAAAATATATGTAGATATACACTATACTAATATATAATTTAAGTAGATACTTGCAATTATCTCATTAAATACGTTTGAAATTCAAATAGCTACAATTTAAATTTTGAATTGAGCAACTTGAGTAGATCACCTTTTATATAATATATTTAATAATTAAATTTGTTATCACATGAAAAACTTAACATATGCAAACTTACTTACTTACTCTAAATTTAATTTCCTAACTATTCTTTAAAAAAAAACTTTACTCGATTAACCAATGTGTAAATATTTTCAATATTTACATGAACATAGGATAATTATTAAAAAACTAATTATTTTGATATTGTTAATTTTTTTCAGACGGGAAATAAAAAAGAATCAGAAAAACTTACGAAGAACTTAATAAAAATAATTGTTAAACTAGGTATATTATCTAGGAATGATCAATTCGATAGTAATGAATTGAAATTAGCCGAAAATTTTAAAGAAAAATTTAGAGAATTAATTATGATTACAGTTAGTTTTTACGACATCGAATTCAGTTATGACAAAAATTATTTGCTTAGTTATTTATTTAAGTGCAGAGATATGTTAAAAGAATTGACTAAAAGACATTTAACAGATAAGTCATTATTCCGAATCGATAAAATTTTTGATTTTTTTTCAAATCCTAAATTTTTAGACTCTGTATTTATCAAACGAGATATTGAACTAGCTGAAACAATGCACATTTTAATAAACGGGTTAAAAGAATTATTGGATAGAGACTTGTAGGTACCTACTAAATCAAAAATTAAATGTATATAATTATTATTTGTATTTAAAATTCACTTATATATCGTTGAAGTTCTACATTAAATTTGTGTATAAATTATTTCTGAAATGTATTTATTACATATACTATTAACATAATCTTTAGAGACTAAAAAATGTTAAGTTTTTACAGCTTCTCATTTTATAGGTACTTCTTTATTTGCAATGACCAAAGAATTGGCATGAGAAAAGTTTCACCGTACATGAAAATCTAAATTAACAGTTAAGAAAATGATTGAGTGTCAGTATAAATAAAACACACATATTATTTAAATATTATTATTTTAGTTATCTACTTGTTTTTATTACTATTCTCAGTAGGTTCATTTTTAATTTATTTTGTTTACTATTTTCATTGTAATTAGTAGTTCCTATTTTTGGAAAATATAATTTATAATATTAGTATCTTTTGTCATTAATGCTTATGCTATGAGTTAATATATTATTTATATATATATACGTATATATTTAATAAACATAAAACAGTACTTCCATGTATGTTTTGTAGTTATTTTTTAGGAAATTTTTATTGACAATTGATGTAATGTCACATTTACGTCATAATATTTAAGAATATTAAATAATTAAATAAGCAAATAACTTGTGGTCTGTAAATGTAAGTAGGTGAAATTTTTTTTACTATTTATAAAAGATTGTTACAGATACTTTATTCATTTTTAATGGAAAAGATAACTCAATTAGTTTAGAAAATAATTATTTGAAAAAATTATAGTTGAAATGAAATTGGGTCATACGGAGACCAATTTAATGAATTAATATAATACTTATAGGTAGTACTTTTAATACATTTTAATTTCTATAAAATAAAAGTGTTTTTATTAAAAACTAATTTATCAATAATTCGTATGAATTCGTTTTTTTTAATAATAAGCACACAAAAAATGTACTTGCAACATTAAAATTTAATACATTTAATATATAATTGTATATTTAATATATATATAATAAGTAAAATTAATCAAAGGAACAAAAAACAATACACTTATATAGTAACAGTATTATTATTTTAAAAAACTATTTGCAAAATACGGAATTCAAATTGTAACTTATAACTGCATTTTAAAACATATGATACAACGTCAGAAATGTATAATACAAGTAATTAAATGCTAACAAAAAATTTAAGTTCAATTAATTATACTATAATGGTGTTAAATGGCCAACTGATTATTATATCATAACATTCCTATGTTGTTTGATGATTAAAATTATTTTTATATTACACCACAGCAGACTACTCTTATACTATAATTATAGTAAGACGTATAGGTTTACAAAATATAGTTATTTCTTAGAAAAAATAAATTCCAGTAAGAAATAAATAATAATCACCATGTAGTTAATAATCAGTAATACAAAGACACTTAGCATATAATATATGTATATGTAAAGCCATATGTCTGTACTTATATTTTCTTATTAGTTTGTAACAATTTAGTGAATTCAGTACTTCACATCTATACATTTCTTCATAATATCCTTTTTAATATATCACAAAATGGAGATAATTTGTAATATTTTGTGAATATAAATATTTAATATCAATAGTTAATTAACGTTTTCAGAAAGATTTTCACAATAAGACCAACAAATAAAAAAATTAACACAATAAATCAAATTTTAGTGTTTCAGTTGTCAATATCATAAAATAAGATTAATAGAGTTGTAAGAGTATAAGAGTTAGTAAAACTTTTCGAGTCGAATTGGAATACATAACTCCATATGCTCAACTAGAGGGGGCAGAGCCTCCCATAAATATTCTATGTTATACATGGTATACCGCATAGAGCATACTTAACTCACAATAGTGTCACATACAAAAAAAGACACATTGCAGTAAATCCAATTTGGCTCAGAATCTAAAATACATTAACATGGTATATAAGAGTAGGGTTAATCTACAGGTTATGTAGTAAGTTTTGGTAGGAGGGCTGTAGCCCCCCAGATTTTTTACCCTAGTTGCGCCTATCTAACTCGATAACCACGGTCAACCGCAGGTTGCCGACCACTGATCTAAATGATAAAAAGGTTAGTGATCAAATAAATTTAAGTTTGGTGGATAGAAAGTAAGCTAGTTCTTTAAATTCTTTGAATTAATATTAAAAGGAATACTTACGTATACATAGAAGTATAGAATATTTGACTAAAGGGTAGGAAAAGTTAAAGCCCGATACAGCTTTATTGCAAAGCTTATTGTTTGTACCTACTAGAGGCTTATGTAATTACGTTACGTTTATAAGCAAAGGTCAATGGGGGGAACAAAATTTAACGACAGTAGGTGACCGATAGTTAATATTTAACCGTAATAGAACATGTAAAGTGAAAAATGGTCACATGTGACATTCACACTGCAGGGTTATAAAGTGACTGCGGATTGTGGTCTACTAGTATAATTAGGAATCACAGCTAGTCATATTATTAATAAGTGTTCGCTTAATGTATGCAAAGGTATCAAGCAAAATACCCAACTGGTATCTGCAGGCGAGAGAAGAAGTTGTAAAATAGGTGGAGAGCTTAGATGTTACATTATTAAATTGAACCTCACAGAACTACAAATAACTACCAAATCAACTAGATTAGATTGATTTATCAATATTTGTTAATTTGAATTATATTATATATATCACTGTAATATTTTACCAGTTGGAAATTGTATATATATATAAATATGTAAGATATTAAGACCTAACCTATTTAGCTGTACATATATATTGCTTTACTAAACGTATGAAAATTGAGTACTGCTTAAAAAAAACGCTCTAACCAGTGTAAGTCGTTTGTCAATGAGAACGAGTACCAAGTATGCAAATCATGTGATTATTAGAGAGTATTAGCCTGTATAAGCATGTTGCCCGGAGGAGTTCGATGTACACAAGTCACGTTTTTCTTAAATGAGGGTATACACATATAGGTAAAATACCTAAGTTATATTATTATTTTTATAGCTTATGCATGTTACTATCGTAATTTCCAGTCAAAGTAACGGTCATACTCCTAGTGAAAATGATTATAAATAATACACTGTATACTCAATATTTTTGCTTGGTCACTGTATAGTTCTAGTCAGTGTTAATTGCTATACTAATGTTAGAAAAATGTAAACCATAACACTTTCACAGCCAAAAATAATAACAAAGCGTATGATTTTGTCCGAACACAACGAGAGCATGTTTGTGTGTAAGGAAAAAATAGCAATACCTATTATACTAGTATATATTATATTATATACTACATTACATATAATACATTATATATGATTGATAAATATTATATTTTTAGGTAAGCATATGCGTATTAGTATTCGTTGATACTTTTTGTATATAGTTCCTTGACATGTATTAAATTATTTAATGTTGTACGATTTGATATAATTTAATAAAATATAATTTAAAAAAACAAATCATTAATTTATATTTTATTAATCAATTTTAATTTACGAAAATTGTGATTGTTCTACATATGTAAACACACAACTACTCGCGGTTAATAGAACAACGCGATTGATAGAACGCACAATAAAACGTAATACACACACAGCGAATGCTCTAGAACTAGGGACGTTGCGATACTACCGATACCAATAAAGTATTGATACATTTCTTTCGATACCATGGTTTCGATACTTTACTCATACCGATAAAAAAATACTGGTATCGAATTAATAGAATCGAATCATTTGCTAACCGCCATATTGGTTCAAAAATCAAAAGTACTCGAATGGTATCGAACAATAATTATTTTCTAGTAAAATGGTTAGCGTGGTGGAGGATTTATTTATTTAAATCAGTCATTACACTATAGTCTATACTCTATACGATTATATTATTATTTCCACGAACCAGAAATCATAGTTCACAATACAATAGCGTCAATAGGTTTCCTCTTAATCGGAACGATTATTCA